GTAGCTGGGCAACGCAGATAAACGCGATGGCCGAACGATCGCATCTAAAAGCAGGAGAGATATGACAGTCGGTACTGGGAGGAAAGGTACAGATAATCGACGCGAGGATTGTGAGAATATGTGGGAAATACTCCACCTGTGCATAAATTTTACTTGCCAGACATTGCCGAGGTCGGATTCTGTTGAGGGAGTCATCATTATTTAGATACGGGTAAATATATTTTTAAAAGCTTGTACATTTTATATACATCCTTAAAGAAGCTGTAAATAGTGTTGATATCTCATATAAGAAATAACGACTTGTGATCGTTGTTTTTCGTAAAATAAAACACTGCATGGAGCATAAAACACCGTAATGGTTTATTCTCCCTGTAGTGTTTTATTGTACAAATAACAACTCCCACTCGTCGTTTATTCATAATTACAAAACATAAAGTTAATCTTGGCATTGGGTTATCTAACATATACCTCCTATCCTCATACAAAGTGTGCTTCTTGAATGTCAATGTAGCGTATGTTTCATTTTAACTTAACGTTAATATTCCAGCAGAAACAGAAACAATGCTTCATATAAAGTGGTGTAAATGTCACGTTATTAAAAACAACAACACAATATTTTGTCATTCGTCTGATCAATGTTTTAACATAACAACTTCATTGATAAAACGCATACTTGGTAACAGGAGACGACACCCCCTACACGAAGGGTGGTGTTAAGCTGAATTTACAATGTTGTTTGTGACCACCATTTGCCTTGACAAGAGGCAAGGCAGTAGGTGCGCATTGAAGTCACTAGGTGATTGAAAACATCCTTGGGGATGTTGTTCCCGAAGTCTTTCAAAGATTGGCGCAACTGAGCTAGAGTTACAGGCTTGTTCTGGTCCCGTGAAGATCCGGAGTAGAATAGGTCTTCAGCAACCCATGCTTGCCGTAAAAGGCGACTACGCTTGTCGTAAGAGGCGACTAACGGGATCGGGTAGTCAGGCTCACTGACTTGGTTGATGCATGTCATCGATCCGAATGACGTGGATCGATGCTTAAGATGTCAATCACTGGTTTGTCTGGTTAAGACTCGTCATATAACTTGGATATTGCTGAGTGCGGCGTTAAACAACAAACTCACTCACTCACTCATCGTTCTGGTCCTGTCGTAGACGTCTACCCATCTCATCCCAGACATATCATGTGGGGAGAGGTCTTGAGAAACAGCCGGTCATGACAATCCAGGAATGCTATGCCAACTGAGACACGCGAACGTGCACTGACAAAAACAGTTTGTAAAGTTAACTAACTTTGTGAATTTCACTGTCCACTCAGACACTGTTCTTAACTCTTCAGTTTGTATGTTTATACCAGGTGGCCTGACGTCACTACCTACAGAGGTTTAGTCGTAATCAGGTATAATTTCATTGTCAACTTCCTGTATGCGAGAAATGCTATTAGACATCCACCAACAACACATTGATTGAAATCTCGTTGGAATCGATCCTGCAAGCTTATGATTTGTAGTCCGTCACGCTCCTGTGATTCGGAGACTACTGCCGTCACAGGTGTCAGATTTCCTAGACACCATGAGTTTTGTACATGTTTATTTTAATATTGTACCAAAGTCGATGTAAGTCATAGCGGTATAAGTGTCATTCAAGAATCTGATTTACACATCTAATTTCAGTATATAATATACCTCTCATCCATGTTTAACTTATAACCTGATGATATGCACATTATCAAATATGATTAAAGGTGTTTAACTTCTAAACATGTTGAAAGGTGTTTCAATTCTAAACACGTTTAGAAGTGTAAAAAATCTAAAACATGGTTGGTTCATGGGAATGTGGTGTTTAGGTGGTGTTTAGGCTATGAGGCAATATCTAATTTTATCTGTTAAGACCCTAAACATGTTTAGATAGAACAAACTAAATGTGCATACCGTTTAGGGCTGAAACAAGCTCCTAAACATGTCTACAGTGTGGTTTAGGGGGTAAGTCATACTAATGTAAGTGACATTTACTAATCTTCAGGGGGGCACGGGTGGCCCAGTCGTCTAAGGCGCCGCGATTCGCTGTGCAGAGTTGCGTCCCTTGGGCACGCCAGAAACCTATGATTGTGGGTTCGAATCCCGGTTCGCCCCGATTATGTTTCTAGGTTTGTCAGAACCATACCCGTGCTCGTGGGTTTCACCGAAGTGGTAAACGTCTGAGACCTGCATCACTCCGGGCTTTCCTCCCACATTAAGCTGACACGCCGCGATATAACTGGAATACTGTTAAAAGCGGCGTTAAACCCAACTCACTCACTCACTACTAATCTTCAGCATCTTGGTGCAACCTACCAGGCAAGATAGTAAATCCGTTGTTTACTAACCTCCTGGCCTCTGTTACTAATAAAGTTAGTAGAGTCCACTAAACATTTGTTCTCAGTGTGTGGGTGTGCATTATCCTGCTGCAACGTGACGTTACGTCTTGTATTTGCACAAAGGGAAGAAAATCATCTCGAACGATGTCGTCCCTGTAGCGTACACCATTCAAATTGCCATTAACAACGATGAGTTTTGATGCCACCCCATACCATTCCACGTCTACCCACAGATCACGTTGAGTACGCAAACATCGCTAAAACGTTTTCCCTGACGCCTGTAGACCCTTCCACGAAATTTAGAGCTGTCAAGCTGAAACCTGGAGTCATCTGTGAACAGTACACCGCCCAAGTCATGTCTTCTGTACCTAAGGTGTTGTCTCGACTAAGCTAGGCGTGTTTGACTGTTACGTGGAAGCAAAATTTGGCGTATGTCGGGGCCGGATCTTGTATTCCCTCAACCGGATGTGAATGGTTCTACCACTAATTGGTCTCAAACCAGGAATTGTCGTAGCTGTTAATGTGGACGATTGCTATGGATTCTGTAGACGCACCAACCAATATGATTGTCTTGTTGACGTGACGTCACATATGGACGACCGACCCTTCTCAAGTCATGATATAACGTCTCCAAAGAGATTATATAATTTAAACATTTTTATTTTCACAACAAATGTGAAAATGGATTGGTAAACAAGCGAAGCACTTATGTTAATACCGCTCCATAACACATAAGACATGATACAATAAATACATCAATGAAGGTTAGATGTAACTGTTACAAATGAATTGCACATGCCAAGCTAGATGTGTATATACAATAAATATATTTGCAGTTTATATTAAACAATTCATTTACTTAATTGAAAATCTGCCAGTTTTTAATATGAAGTTTTGAATAGAATCTAATGTTTGGATTTGCTCTTCCTTACTCAAATGCGAATTTCCGCATAGCACTGTTTGAATAAGAGAATAACCATTTTGGTAAAATACTTTTCATGTCGAAGAACATAGTAATTTGTACACATTAAAAAAGAAGTGTAAAGCATCCACAGGAACAAGTTTTAGTATCCAAAATACATCAATCAGACCGATCTGAGTTAAGATCGCTGCCAAGCCTGAGGCGAGTGTGAATAAATTGACATAACCCCTGTTTCCATAATTGAAATCCTAGTGTATATCATTATCTCTCCTAACGTGAAGCAAATTCCTAAACTGTGTGACGGTTCTGGAAACATATTCCAAAGTTGTGTTGTAGCAGGTATAAATGAATCTGCATATTTTTTTGTTTTACACTTCTCTGTTTGAAGATTACTTTTATCCCTTACGTTAGAATTTGTGTTTTCCGAAACTGTATTAGGAGTGAGCCTACAGAGATATTCCGGGGAGAAATGGTTATTTATTTTCTAAAACATTACCAATTTTGAATTGTATCTTCTGTCTTTTAATGACTTACAATTTGTTTCATTGTAAATCTTCTAAAGACTCGTACCCCGGACAGCGCCATATATGGTTCTAAGAGCATCTAAGTTGAACTTTTCCAATAAATTAGCTTGCTCATTAGTACAGTTGTCCCAAATATGATAACAATAATAGAAAATTGGTAAACTAAATGATTCCTAAGGTAGTTCGTGATAGCCGATATTTATAACTTCTTAAACAATTAGCCACTCGTTTCCTTGCAATATCATCAATATGCATTTTCCATGCATAATTATTTTGTATAGTAATACCTAGGTGCTTATGACTTTGTACATCTTGGATTTCTGTATATGAAAGAGATGATTTTGTGTTTCGATGAACGTTAATGTATGTATGTATGTATGTATGTATGTATGTATGTATGTATGTATGTCTGTATGTATGTATGTATGTATGTATGGTATGTATGTATGTATGTATGTATGTATGTATGTATGTATGTATGTATGTATGTGTGTATGTATGTGTGTGTGAGTGTGTGCCTGTGTGTCTGTCTGTGTTTGTCTGTGTGTGTGTGTGTCTGTGTGTGTGTGTGTCTCTGTGTGTGTGCCTATGTGTGTGTGTGTCTCTCTCTGTGTGTGTGTGTGTGTGTGTCTGTCTGTGTGTGTGTGTGTGTCTGTCTCTGTGTGTGTGTCTGTGTGTGTGTGTGTGTGTGTGTGTGTGTGTGTGTGTGTGTGTGTGTGTGTGTGTGTGTGTGGTCATGTCACATAGTTCTTGAAACGTGTTACGTGCATCCCGTAACGTCCGTTTGACTCCGGTGTGTTTTAATTGGTTTACTGACTTCATAATGCACTCACGGCGATCCCGACGGTTTTATCATCACAATACAATGCCGCATGGAGTGTTTGTTGAGGTACGCTCACGAACGTCCTTCAAGACCGCCCTGCACACAAACACTTAAAGCTTGGCTGATCAGGCTGCGTGTAACAGGGGGCAATACCGTGCAAACGCTTTTCTAATTGAGGGGTAAATGTTTCCTATGAAGATGTTTCCATAGGTCTTTGCAAATATTTTTCTTGAACATCTTCCTCATTGGAATACACATATAATTTACATAAACGTATTCCTTTCATGAAGTCAACTCAGGTCAGGCGCCGTTTTCATCTGATAAAGCTTTGATACGAATAACACCTTCCTTAGGCAAAATTTTGTTTAACCAGCGATGCAACTAATACGTTGGGCTGGTCTCGCTCGTTGTAGTCATTCAATTGGCCCTACACAACATGAAAACGAGGGTATAGCAGTGTGTTATCTATCGATATGCCACGTGATCACAATAGCGTATAAATCGTGTTGTGTTATTAGAATTCAGATGTTCGGCGTCCCTTCTCGCCAACTGTACCGTGGTATCTGTAGTCACTAGAAGATGAACGCGCTGCTTCCAGTCCTCGTTGCTCTGACATCGCTATGGGGAACGGGGCTCCACTCATTGGATACACGCGACGCTGGGATATGCAAATCTGGGGCAGAACTACGCAAAGATTGCAGGATGTCGTAAGTAATTTATGGTTTGTTTGTTGTGATTTTGTTTGATGTTTAACACTGTAATCAGTAATATTCAAGCTTCAAGACGGCAGCAACCTGCACAGCCAGCTCATTGATGTTATGTTTGTTTGTTTGTTGTTTAACGCCGCAATCAGCAATGTTCCAGCAAAATGACGGCGGTCTGTAAATAACTGAGTCTGGACCAGACAATCCAGTTATTGATATCATGAGCATCGATCCAAGCAATTGGGATACGATGACATGCGTTAGCCAAGTCAGCGAGCCTGACCACCCGATCCCGTTAGTCGCCTCTTACGACAAGCATAGTCGTCTTTTACGGCAAGCATGGGTCGATTCATGTCATGACGCCATGGGTTATGGCGGCACACGATTCTACCTGGTCACCAATATTTGGTGTAATGTAACACAGATTTGAAGTCGTAATTTTAATCGTCACAGAAGCATAATACATTGTAGTTACAAAACGTGTCTTTCAAGGGTGAATGAGTTGAAATTTAAAGTCACATTGGTACTCTTTCAGCCATATTGGGAAAAGTTTTACATTTACATTAGTAATAAATACATTCAGACTTTATATCACTTTTCGACAAGGGACACTAAAGCAATTAGATTGTCACAAATGTGTATTTAAAACGTGTATGTATCCCATTAAAACGATATCACTGTACATGACAATACATTTTATAAACGGGCCGTAGATCACAAGAAACCAAAGTCGGTTACCATTCCAGGGACGTTGGGGTACCTCTGCTACCTGCAGTTTCCCAGCAGCATTTACACCATAACTTAGTCGTTGGCGGTTGTATTAAATAGATAAAGAAATATGCTACAATTAAACACGTGGCAGTACTAAAACTACTAGGAATGGCGCAGTCTTAAATACCCTATCAGGGGGACAAATATTTTTCACCACTTTAACCCCCCTCGAGGATACTATCACTGACAATCTCAGATACTAATTCATCCTGCCGATTGTGTATGGTCATTCATATATATATAAGTATCAATAAAAAAGTTCTTAAATACAAACAATAGATTTTTCATCAAAAGGATCCTTTAAAGATGAAACTATGTATCCCTTGTGATGTGTAAATTAAGATGTATACTAATATGTATGTACACCGTAGTGTTTTCAGTCACAAGATGGATCTTGACGTAATCTGTTTTATTCTTTATCACCTGGTATCCTTGAAGATGAGGCAGGCTAAATAAGGAAATGTAAAGTTCACTGATTATGAACGGATATAAACCAAACAGTCCCATCAAACATCTGGATATATTGTCCTCTAACTGCTATTGATCAATATACATATATCGAACTATCGATTGAGGTCCCAACTGTCACATATCAATACATGGAGATTATGTGGATTATCATCTAGTCACGTGATAGATTTATCTCATCGCGTGACCTGCCAGCACTCGCGGGTGGAAATGTCAACTTGGTCAGGTCACGATGACAACATTCACCCTCGATGTCTCGTAAGCGACGCTTCGATTGGTCGGATTATATGTCGTTCTGACGTCACCTGTGAATAGACCGAGACATTGGCTCTGTGTATGTAGATGTTTCTGTTTGTTTGTTTGTTTGTTGTTTATCGCTGCACTAACCAATATTCCAGCTATATGACGGGGGTCTGTAAATAATCAAGTCTGTACCAGACTATCCAGTGATTGACATCATGAGCATCGATCTACGCATTTGGGATTCGATGACATGTATTAACCAAGTCAGCGAGCCTGACCACCCTATCCCGTTTGTCGCCTTTTACGACAAGCATAGTCGGCTATAAATCAAGCTGAATACCTATTCTATCCCTGTGACAAGAAATGCTAAATGTTTTGTCCATTTTGAATTTCTTACTGATCAATCAAATCATTGAAAGTGGATCGAGTGGTCAGTCTCAGTGACTTGGTTGATTGTGTGTCATTAACTCCGATGGTGTGTATCGGTGTTCATGCTGTCAATCACCGAATTGCTTGATTCTGGCTCAGTTATTTACAGATCGCTGCCACACAGCTGCAACCGATAGATACTGCCACAAACAAACAAGCACGTGTAACTTCAAGTTGCAAACACAATATAGGTGTCGCCAGGGTTCCTGTGTGAAAGGGGCTTTTGGTTAAGCTCGTGATTAACGCGTTCGCTCGTCACGCTGAAAATCCGGGTTCGATTCTCGATTCTCGACATGGGTGTGATATAGCAGGAATATTGCAAAAAGCGGCGTAGAACCATACTCACTCACTTACTCACTACAGTATACTACGGTTATAACGAACTCAAAGGGACCACTAAGTTTAATTCGTTGTAGCCGTGGTTCGTTATATGCATATGTACAGCATAACTACAGCAAATAGTCGGGACAAAAAAGTAAGTTCGTTATATCCGTCAGTTCGTTATAAGCGTGTTCGTTATAACCGTAGTTTACTGTATGTGCATTGTTTACGTCTTATGTAGAAACTACGAAAGGTGTGTCAGTTACCGGAGCATAAAGCCTGCCGCATAATTACACGTAGGCAATGCATCACTTCTAGTAATGATGCATGTATATATACCTGAACAATACCGTTATTGTCCACCTTGTCACTAACAGGATCGCACTGTGGAGGTAATCTGTAAATAATATCTGTGTCATGTAAGGTATCTCCGTAGACTCCAGTATGTGACAAAGGATTGGATATTGGTCGAGAGACGCCTGGTGTTATATGGAAATAAGCCAGTAACAATCTGATTATCCCCTAATTCCAAACTACTCGTCATTATTACTTGTAGCACGTTCCTTTTGTCAACTAGGCAAGAGTGTCCACAGCTTATATCAAAGTTTCACCATTGCCCTCACTGTTTGTGTGTTTGATTGTTCTTTAACGCTGCACTCAGCAATATTCCAGCTATATGACGGCAGTCTGTAAATAATCGAGCCCGGATCAGACAACCCAGTGCTTGACATCATGCGCATCGATCTACGCAATTGGGATAGGATGACATGTATCAACCAAGTTGTTTTCACGGGTCTAGCTCTAACTCGGGCGACGTTTTCCCGAGGCAATATTGTATGTAAAACGGGTCTTACCTTGAACTAAAAGATGAAAAAGATTTGGAACATAGCTGTATACGCCCAGTATCCGGCACACGTGCTCTTGTGTTACTTGGTAATATGTAGCATGTATGTCTTCATTACTTGTATTGTAATAGTGAAAACATTGTTCTACAACAGCATCATTTCACTACGGAAAACCCCAGATGTTCAGCAAAGTGAGGTGAGGTGAGGTGAGGTGAGGTGAGGTGAGGTGAGGTGAGGTGAAATGGGGTTCAAATTAAATGATGCACCTGATGAAGATGATGATGATTTTTCACTGATCAATTTGATATACACATTGAAGATTGTAACTCTGCTTTGAATGGTGCCATTTCACGTGATGAAATTTTGATTGCCATAGCAAATTTGAAAAATAATAAAGCATGTGGCCCTGATAAAATTATTAATGAATATATTAAAACCACTCAAGTCATTATGCTACCTGTATATGTTAAGGTTATTTAACACCATTTTAGATGATGGTGTTTATCCAGAGCAGTGGCTCAGTGGTATAATTCGTCCTATTTATAAAGGTAAAGGTGACAAATATGATCCAGAAAATTATAGACCAATCAGTTGTTTTGGTAAACTCTTTACAAGCATTATTAGTAATAGAATCCAAAATTTTATAGAAGATCAAAATATTTTATCTGAAGCGCAGACTGGTTTCCGTAAAAAATATTCTACAACTGATCATATATTAACCCTTAAATGCCTTGTAGATTTATTTTAGTCAAGAAAAAAGAATTTTTGTTGTTGTTTTATTGATTTTAAAAATTTGGTAAACTCTTTACAAACATTATTCGTAATAGAATCCAAAATTTTATAGAAGATCAAAATATTTTATCTGAAGCGCAGACTGGTTTCCGTAAAAAATATTCTACAACTGATCACATATTCACCCTTAAATGCCTTGTAGATTTATTTAAGTCAAGAAAAAAGAAATTATTTTGTTGTTTTATTGATTTTAAAAAGGCTTTCGATAATGTAAGAAGGACTGCCTTGTGGAGTAAACTGTTCAGCCAAGGTATAGATGGCAAATGTTTCAGAATTTTAAAATCCATGTATAGTGGTATAAAATCGTGTGTAAAGGTACATAGCATTGAATCAGATATTTTCCCTTGCCTTGTAGGAGTTAGACAAGGAGAAAACTTATCACCTGTTGTATTCTCTTTGTTACTAAATGACTCAGAAACATTTTTAATGTCCAAAGACTGTTCAGGTCTATTAATTAATTCAGAAGTAACACATTCCATGCTAAATTTATCTATTAAATTGTTTGCTCTTTTATATGCCGATGACACTGTCCGTCTCGCTTTCTTCAAAAACGAATCTCCAAAAAGCTATCAAGCATTTTGATTCATATTGCAAAATTTGGAAATTAACTATCAATATTGATAAAACTAAAGTTCTAATATTTGGTGGTAATAAAAATGATATGAGTAAAGATATTTAACTCCATGGTGTTCCTTTAGAATATGTCACTGAATACAAATATCTTGGTGTTATATTTGATAAAAAGTGTTCTTTTAAAGCATCCATTGCTAATCTATGTCAACAGGCTACAAAATCCATGTATTTCGTACTACGTAAAAGCCGAAACCTTAATTTATCAATTCAATGCCAATTATATTTTTTTGACACAATGGTAAAACCAATCTCATTATATGGTTGTGAATTATGGGTTTTTGTTAATCTAAAACAAATTGAAAATGTACATATTTGTTTCATGAGAAAATTATTACCTGTTAAAAGAGTACCCCTTCATGCATGCTTTACGGTGAACTAGGTAGAGTTCCGTTATCTGTTGATGTTAAAACCCGTATGTTAACCTTTTGGTCGAAATTACTTACAGATAAATCCAGCAAAATATCTTCAATCATTTACTCTATTGTATATAACATCCATAATACAGGTGTTTACAACTATGACTGGATTTCATGTATTCCAAATGTTCTAAACAATATTGGTTTAAGTTATGTATGGTTGTCACAGTCTCCTGTTTCATCTTCCTGGCTCAAAGCAACAGCTCACTCTATTTTAACTGATCATGCTAAACAAACCTGGAGCTCTGAGGTGGAAATTAAAAAAAAGTGTAGTCTATTCTCTCTTGAAACCACTATTTGAATTAGAAAATTATCTAACGTCCCTACCCCTAAATAAAGCTATCCCTCTACTTTTATTTCTTACTTCATGCCACCACTTACCAACTGAAAAAGGAAGATGGAATGGGATACCTATTTGTGAAAGAAAATGTAAATTGTGTTTTATTGATGATATTAGAGATGAATTTCACTTTATATTTAAATGTCCATATTTTACTAAAGAAAGAATTTTGTATATCCAACCTACATATTCTAAAAGACCTAATATGATTAAATTTCAAAGACTTTTCACTTGTAGAGAGATATCTGTATTAAAAAACCTTAGTAAATTCTGTAAATATGTAATGCAAATTGTAAAATCTTCCGGCTAACCACATATCCGCTATTATAATGTGTATTTTGCTGTCATTTTGTACCTCATGTGTGTGTGTGTGTGTGTGTGTGTGTGTGTGTGTGTGTGTGTGTGTGTGTGTTATAGTGCTAGCCCACCGAGATACCACGCCGCAGTTTAGCATGAATACCCCACTCGGACACAGCATTGCTTGAAGTAGTTGTGTCATCTCCAGGAACCGGTTTGTAATCTATACATGTACACTACGCTTATGTACGTAAATCTAGACTATATACACATCCGTCATGTTAAACAGAAAATAAAAGACATAGAATGAGAATACAGTCGCGGATATTGAAATATTATAAAATATTATTGGTTTTGTACTTTATAGTCATATAAGCTGGAGGATCCAGCGACGCAATACACATCAAACACCACTGGATAGTGCCTAAGAATTAAACGGTTCACAATTAACGTCAGCCATTTCGAGTGAGTGAGTGAGTGAGTTGGGTTTAAAGCCGCTTTTAACAGTATTCCAGTTATATCACGGCGTGTCAGCTTAATGTGGGAGGAAAGCCCGAAGTGATGCAGGTATCAGACGTTTACCACTTCGGTGAAACCCACGAGCAGGGGTATGGTGCTGACAAACCTAGAAACATAATTGGGGCGAACCGGGATTCGAACCCACAATCATAGGTTTCTGGCGTGCCCAAGGGACGCAACTCTGCACAGCGAAACGCGGCGCCTTAGACGACGGGGCCACCCGTGCCCCCCTCAGACATTTCGAACTGATAGTACATATTAGATAGAGCGCTACAATATCGCAGTGCCGTTTAAACTTAAATCTTACATTTTCTAGATAATAATAACAAGAGTTACAAAATTGATGTATGAATACAGTCTTAATGTTTTCTAACTTGAAACAAGAGAGGAGAGAGCTGTGTGCACCTTCGGTTTATTCACTGACTATCCAAGGAGGTAGTTTCCCCACAGTTTTACTCGTAAAGTTTGTAAAACCTATTAACTTAATGAAATTCAATATCCACCCAGAGACTAACATGTTACTTCAAGTTGACTTTACCAACCAGTTAGTAATTGTTTGCTGATTAGACAAGTAGGAGGATTATTGTAGATTAGTACAATTTATTTCAATCAGTAGTGATCACTATCCATCTTTAAAAAAACTACCGGTATCACCAGTTAATTATACTCATTAAGTGATATTTAGCAATATTCTTCTCATAACTGCAATGACATATTACTAAGCTTGTAGTAGGTTTTACTACAATTTAATACATGCTCGTTTCTTGATCATTCTGCGCTCCCTGTTGACAGTTGCTAAATATATTTTGTAAATAATGTAAACAATGAATGACATAAACAATACAGGTGAAAGATGACATACAATGATTTGCAGTGACATCTTAAGTATAGAGTTAGACCACTCGGCATCGATGTTTAAACGTTGAAATTCTCAGTTAGACCCCTTTTACTGGCCATTTCAACAAATCCGAGTGGCCTGGCCTGAACCGACGGCCAAAAAACACGTTACCAACACGTCTTTAAAAGTGAAATTGCAAAAATGTGAAAACACAAGTTAAAACTAAATCAATGCAAAACACACCGTCCAAACACAACAAGGCTGTTTACAGAAAGTGATTCACGTCCACGGCACGTTTGGTTTGTAGACAATGCGACAAAGTGAAAAACCAATGCCCCCCTAGTCAGCCGAAACTACACGTACAATAAGGGTATATAGATAATAGGGACGGTATGTTGGACTCGGATAAAAAAACCTCCAAGGTAGAATGGCGACATATCCCACGTGACGTCATCAGACGACTGACTTTTTTCTGTGCGCCGGAGAGTTTTTACGTGTCGTAGAAGGGCGTGGTCATACACGCTACTGATGTGACGAGTTGAACTTGAGCGATTTAAGAGTGTGCCTTTTGGCCATTTTGTTGAAGGCTTGCTTTCGCTACCCCATTTCAATTCGGGAAACTGTCATACCAATCATCTATCTTGGTGGTATTAAACCTAGAGTGGTTTAAAACTATAGTAATGTTTTGTTTGGGCTTTCAGTAGGGGGTAGGGAGGGGGGTGGGGGGTGGGGTGGGGTACGGCTGGCCCAGTCGTCCAAGGCGCCGCGATTCGCTGTGCAGAGCTGCGTCCCTTGGGCTCGCTAGAAACCTGTGGGTTCGAATCCCGGTTCGCCCAAATTATGTTTCTAGGTTTGTCAGCACCATACCCGTGCTCGTGGGTTTCACCGAAGTGATAAACGTCTGAGACCTACACCACTTCGGGCTTTCCTCCCACATTAAGCTGGCACGCCGCGATATAGCTGGAATACTGTTAAAAGCGGCGTTAAACACAACTCACTCACTTAAACGTGAGGACACGGTGAGTCGGCCCTGCGAGATGCACGTGTTATGCGTTCAACGAGCCTTTGTCACGTGCACCTCGCCCTTTGGCGGCTCGGGTTAAAAAATACATGTCACGGGGCAAGTTTTCAATCCATGTAGGACCTACTTGGGCACCCTTATCAATCAACGATTTAGTGATGATGATGGTGATGATGATGATGATGATGATGATGATGATGATAATAATGATGATGTTTCAGTCTCATCAAAAGCCGATGCAAGGTGATCAAGGAGCTGTGGTGGTGCAAGCGCAGAGATTTCAACTGTGGGAACACGCCGGCGTTAGATCTTGTTGGTGAGAAATTCCTGCTTACAATCCTACTGCTTGTAAAAGGGGCGGTCGGGTAGCCTAGTAGTTAAAGCGTTCTCTCGTCACACCGAAGACTCGGGTTCGATTCCCGACATGGGTACAATGTGTGAAGCCCATTTCTGGTGTCCCCCGCCGTGATATTGCTGGAATATTGCTAAAAGCGGCGTAAAACCATACTCACTCACTACTGCTTGTAAGACAGTACGGACAGTATTCAGTAAAACTGGCACAGGTAGTTGCCATTTTGTTTGGAAAACACGAGCAACGTCAACGCTCGGACTCAACCCAGAGACATCGGATCACAAGTATCTGGACCCGCTTTTCTGACAGTGTATAAAATATGTAAGTTATTGCAGCACAAAATGTCCCTAAGCCATGATGTCATTATATACAGCTAACTAGTCAAGCAATTGATGATATGCTTGTATTATGTTTCAGCAACGAATCTCTTGTCCCAAACATAGTGAGAATAAAATTATCATAAACCCTTCATAAAAGATTTTTTGAAGTCTCCAAAACCGGCTTCATCCAATTATCTGTATGCTACTTGTTATCTGTTACCTGTTGTTGTCAATGTTAATCTGCTGCTGTCACAACATGTCCTGAATATATCCATCTCATCACTTGGTTGTTGTCACAGCTTGAATCTACGTCGATATATGCCGGAAGTTGTCATCCATACAGTTTTCTTATCTTCAAAACCGGTTGGGATGCACTTTTCACAAGTTACGTGTTCCGATTGTTACAAATATGAACTATCAACTTATTTAAAGGGCATGTAAAGTCAAAAACCAAAGCAACTTTGCAGACTTTAGTACTTTAGGGCATACTTATCACAAATGCTTGACCAAAAGTAAATTTGAAAAACGGAAATAGCATAAAACAGGCGATAAAAAATGACAGGCAAAATCATCCCTCAAAACGAAAAATTCCGCCACTGCGGGGATCCCCCTTACTGGGATTAAAACGAGATCCCGGGGTAATTTCAACTATCGGGCCGGCGCCCAGTCTGCCTGGTGGCTTATTGGGGGATGGGGGTGGGTCTTCCTACTTGTCTACTTGTCTAGCATCTATTTTTATGGTACAGATTCACCGGAGCGTGGTGATGGTAAGACAAGAGGCGATTAATGGGGCATCTCACATATGACACAACTAATTGGTGAATACCGCACAAATATGACGACACGACTAATTGGTGAATACCGCACAAATATGACGACACGACTAATTGGTGAATACCGCACAAATATGACGACACGACTAATTGGTGAATACCGCACAAATCTGACGACACGACTAATTGGTGAATACCGCACAAATCTGACGACACGACTAATTGGTGAATACCGCACAAATATGACGACACGACTAATTGGTGAATACCGCACAAATCTGACGACACGACTAATTGGTGAATACCGCACAAATATGACGACACGACTAATTGGTGAATACCGCACAAATCTGACGACACGACTAATTGGTGAATACCGCACAAATATGACGACACGACTAATTGGTGAATACCGCACAAATATGACGACACGACTAATTGGTGAACTGTGCACATACACTGTGCCGGGGGGTAATGTAGAGGATGCCCGACCACCATCAACACCAAAGACGACTTTGTCCTGAAGCACAATAATATGCCACTGACAGGGGGTCGACGCCAACACATCATCTCGAGGGACGACGTCCAAACGTGTACAAATTCATGGAGGTAGTGCACGTTGAGCAGAATAATACTGCGAACACAACCCAGCTATTTTGATGCCACCCAAGAAGAATTTTCGAAACCTAGACCATGCACATGATAGGGAGAGGAGATAACTTCTCGCCAACCAGAAACCAGTTAACGATTATCACAATGCTGTTTCACTGTTTACCTGGACTGTGAATTTTGTAGATTTGAGATGCGAAGGAAAAGTATAACTATAATTTGTTTTTGCGTCGCGAATCGTTATCTATGTGTTACAAGCATCCACAGGCCCCGTACAGCGTTTAATATGAACACCCAGCTAAAAATAAACACGATGGGGATTATCCCTTGGCCAGCGATTATCCCTTGGCCAGCGATTATCCCTTGTCCAGCTGCTGGATAAGGAAGAAGTCAGCGTATATGGTACAAAACAGGATGTCAGCAATAGTTACAGATTGTTAATTGTAATTTAAATTATTCAAGACAAAAGGGGACCTTTGCGCCGGTAGCTTTGAGTAATTATGGAGATGGTAACTGAAAATTGGTCAGTTGAAAATGGTCAGGTCTCAGCGGGAGACAAGTCAGCCACCTTACAGAGATATATTACAAGTTCAGAATTATGTCTTCAAAATGATGTTTTTAGACTGAGAATGGGTAATACGGTTATTTCATAAATGCACACATCCCCAGCACCCTTTTCACAGATTCAAATGTTTGACGCCCAATTCCCCGTTTTTTTAGTCGCCGTACTTAACGTTTAAACTTTATAGAAACACGATGTTTGCTGTGAAGAGGCAAAGGTGACACTAGCAATGGTTGCAACTCGGCATGCATTATTCAAGGCTGACTTTCAGATGCATTGCTTGATGCAATGTAACGTAACACTGTATCGCGAAACTGTATCGTCCTTTGTGTATGTCATGTTTGAACCAGACTTCAGATCGTAATCAGCCGTGTTATGTCGCATAAAACTGCGTCGTAGCTGACGGAGAGTAATATGACCCGGGTGGAGAACAGACAGGTCCGTGTGTCATCGGTTTTCACACTTCTGCGTTCATTCTGATGTTTGTGTACATTCAGGGTTTGTTAAAAGCTTCCCAGGCATGTCAGCTTCTTTTGATTCTCATAACAACCCCCACGGCGATGCAAGAGCTTATAGTGTGCATTGAGAGGAGTATGGACATCATAGACCTAATGCTACGGTCTTTTAGGGCCATTATTTATTTATTTTCTTTAAATTTCCATAAACTAAGCACACGGTACGAGCACGACTGTTTCTGAGTTATACTGGACAGAAGAAGTTAGTTAAATATGGCAACAGTCGCTATTCATTGAGGCCTTTACAATATGCCCAGCCCAGAATGACACATGTGAACACGTGGGTGATGATAAACGGTAGATAAATAAAAGCTACAAAACCCCTTCAATAGCTGCAAGAAATCTCTGCTGAAATCTCGTAAAGAAATTTAGGCATCCTGATGAATTTGCATATTTAATTTTATTTTTCAGATACATAATACAGTTGATATGTTTGAGGTAAAAAAAGGGTTTTAAAAATTGTTTTGCGTAATTGTTAACGTTAAACACTTCTTCAAATATGCTTGGTAAGCTCGTCTAACATTGAAGTTCTAACAGTGAAATTATTTTCACGTGATTGAAATTCGATTCTTGTTGGCACCAGCCGCCACATCTGTCTCATCGTGTGACAACTGGCAATAGAATACTATTTAAAGTTTAATTGAAAGGACGAACAATAATAAATCATAGCATATGTTTTCTGTTCTTATATTCAACCGCTGACGCCGTATTTATTATATGGACATGGTGGCCTGCCTGCTATTACGCCGCTTGAATATACCGACTACCACTCGCTGTCACACAATCAGATATGATTATGAACTTCAGATAAAACTTAAATCTTGGATTTTGGAAGATCGAATATTCCTTTTTTAATCCCTGAAACAACATTGTTTTGCCTCCGGTTGTCCTGAATATATTATATACAGTACACTACTTTTATAACGAGCACGCTTATAACGAACTGACGGATATAGCGAACATATTGTTTGGTCCCAGTATATGCTTATAAAAAACTACGGTTATATCGAACTAATATCAGTGGTCCCTTTGAGTTCGTTATGACCATAGTTTAGGCCATCACCTTTGTTTGTTTGTTTGTTTGTTGTTTAACGCCACACTCAGCAATATTCCAGCTATATGACGGCGGTCTGTAAATAATCGAGTCTGGACCAGACAAGCCAGTGATTGATACCATGAGCATTGATCTACGCATCACCTACTACGACATCAACATATTATTGAAAGGTCGGCCACAAGGCATTACCATTGGATTTCGCTTCCATATACAATTTAGTCTTCTATGTTGCAGCCTTAAGAAGGGACATTGAAAACAAGAGGTCATGTTGCTGCAAATTTAAATGGTGAGTTCTTGTACAGGAAATCCCAATTTACAATTTTATACGGTTTTATGTGACATAATTGCAACAATAGATTGAATGAACTAAAGTGTCCACATCCACATTTCCAAAAGAGTGAGTGAGTGAGTGAGTATGGTTTTACGTCGCTTTTAGCAATATTCCAGCAATATCACGGGGGGGGGGGGGGGGGCTTTACATATTGTACCCATGTCGGGAATCGAACCCGGCTCTTCGGCGAGACGAGCGAACGCTTTAACCCTTAGGCTACCCGACCGCCTAATTTCCTAAAGAAATATACCATGGATCATATGGAATATACCACTACTCATTAATCGGTTCTCGTGAAATATTTGTGAAATTCCCTCGCCAAGTTTGGTATTTAATAACCTCTGTTTGGAACAGATACTTCGTAATTCTTACTAGAATCAACAATCCAAACGTTTAACATTTTCAGGTTTGATAAATTTGAAATACGGATCCAGAAAAGCATTGAAAATCTGGAGATATGTCGAGATGGTCCGACAACTAAACCCACACCTGCTGAGGTTCCATCTTCAACAACGCCTACCACAACAACATCAACAACATCATCAGCTCCTGCAACAACACTAACAACATCAGCGACTACGATATCAACAGCTAGTACGACTACATCAACATCAGCTACAACAACACCAACATCAGCTACTACGACAACACCAACAACATCAGCTACTACAACAACACCAGCGACAACTACACCTACAACATCTACTACGACAACACCAACAACATCAGCTACTACGACTACACCAACAACATCAACTACAACACCAACACCAGCGACTACTACACCTACAACATCTACTTCGACAACACCAACAACATCAGCTACTACGACTACACCAACATCAGCTACTACAACACCAGCGACTACTACACCTACAACATCTACTACGACAACATCAACATCAGCTACTACGACTACACCAACAACATCAACTACGACGAGAACATCAACATCAGCTACTACCACAACACCAACAACATCAGCTACCACGACTACACCACCAACATCTGCTTCAACTACGACACCAAAAGCACAACTATGTAATAACACTTTATCAGGACTTGTTTCATACTTGTTTTCATAGTGTGTGTGTGTGTGTGTGTGTGTGTGTGTGTGTGTGTGTGTGTGTGTTTGTGTGTATGTATATAGTAGTAGTAGTAGTAGTAGTAGTAGTAGTAGTAGTAGTAGTAGTAGTAGTACCCTTGTCATCACCGTTATCATAATCATTATTATTTTTATTATCCACAGTGTGTGGAGCCATAGGAGGATCATGTCTGTTTACCGTCGAGGATGACTGCATCGATTTTGGAGGACAAGTGGATCAAGGACGGGTGTGCCTAGGCGCTAATGTTTGCTGTGTATTTTAGGCACAGAGGTATTATCACTGCATCTTTTCTGGCGACGAAAAGGTCACGGGGCCTTCGTCATCTAGATTACGTAATTTTTGGTGTCTAAATGTATGTTCAAACGGTCGACCTGGCAAAGCAATTCATAAAAATAAAGTCAATTTTAACATTTTAATATTTGTTTATGATATGTCGTTTACGTCTTGTCGTCAAAGGTTTGACGCAGTTGTGATCTATTGTCGTTCTATGTTCCGCCGGTATCGGGTTCCAGTCCAAATTCTTATGACTCTTAATTTATCAGGATCCTGCTTGTGATATAACTAAAATACTGTTCACCGTGGCGGTAAATTCAGTCGCTCACTGCCTCCTCCAAAGGGCCTCAGTGCTCTGTGCTCAACCTCTGTTATCTAGGGTATTATATCTATCACAATAAGTCCCGTGGACCCCATCGCCACCATAGCTTCCCATCTGTCTGATCAATGACCTAGCTTTGAATCTATCTCGCTCATGAGATTTATTATTTTGGACTGCTATTGTAACGTCATGTCACTCGAATCGGACTCAAACAAACGAAGATATGGCAGCAAATGTGTCAAGGGTCTTAGCATTCCAGAATGGAGGTTTAATTCACTGGATAATCGAGGATGATATCCGCTTGCGATTCCCCTGTAGCGATTCCGGATAGCCTCGGTATTACATACTGAGACCGGATAAAAGGTTACTTTACTTGCTTGTAAATGTTGCAAATATGACTGTTACATATGTAGCCGCTATACAATTTACGAGTCCCGTGATGGGATTCGAACCACGGACCTTCTGATCCGAGGTCGGACGCCTTGTCCACATGACCAAAGAGGTTAACCCCGTCAGCAAGCTGACAAAGTAAGGATGTCATCTGTGGGATGACTCCACCCCCTGCTACACATACATTTACATAAATTTATATATTAAATTAACCATTAATACATTTCCATATTAAACTTATGTCTTAATTAAGAATTTGTTTCAAAAGTTTTATTGCAGTGTGATGAGCGCCTTACACTGCGAATGAGGCAAATTACATCGGTCGCTCTAATTATTGTTTGATCACCCTCGATGAAAACCCGTCAGGATACGGGGTCTTGGTGATACAATGTGCAAAACATATTCCAAGAAAGACCTCTTCATGATTCACACTGGGAGTGAGTGAGTGAGTGAGGTTTTACGCCGCTTTTAGCAATATTCCAGCAATATCACGGCGGGGGACACCAGAAATGGGCTTCACGCATTGTACCCATGTCGGGATTCGAACCCTGGTCTTCGGCGTGACGAGCGAACGCTTCAACCCCTAGACTACCCGACCGCCCCATTCACACTGGGAGAACGTTGGAGGCAGGGTATGGTGGGATAGGCGAGTGGTTAAAGCGTTCGCTTGCCACGAAAGTTTTCGCCTCCTTCGCTCTGGCCGCATCTCATAGAATCATGCCAACTGACTATTTCTCTCCTTATTCAAAGGAGCTCATAAAACAGTCGGGTCTTGCACTGTAAAAATCGTCTGGCAAAACAGTGTTGTGAACAAAAGACAAAACCAAATATGCCACACATTATGAAACTCTCAAACTTCATCTCAGAAAGGGTCTGACGCTGACTCGCGTGCACAAAGTGATGAGATTTACACAGTAAGCTCGGGATGAAATGTTTCAGAGAATCCCATATTCATAAACGAAATGGAGCGTCACTGTGACTCTTAGCAAACCCAATGCAATGTGTATGCTTGTATGCTTGTATGCTTGTATGCTTGTGTATTTTAGAGCATGCCAGGTAACACACTTACTCTATCTACTACTTGTCTCCCCTCATCCCCGTGCGGGAAATAGAAGCATGTCTCCTCGGTCGAGGCAAGGTAGATTCCCAGTTCTTCCACCCCCAATAACACGTATAATAACTCCCTCCTTCGGTTTAATTGCAGAGGTCTCAGGATCAATTTTAATGACATGCAATTACTGGTACAGGATTTTAAACCATCAACAATCTGCTTTCAAGAGACATATGTCAAGCAGACAAATACATTTGACTTCCATCAGGACAATTCATATAATTTATTTTCTTCTCTGGGGGCTGAATGAGTGAGTGAGTGAGTTTGGTTTAACGCCGCTTTTAGCGGTATTCCAGTCATATCACGGCGTGTCAGCTTAATGTGGGATGAAAGCCCGAAGTGATGCAGGTCTCAGACGTTTACCACTTCGGTGAAACCCACGAGCACGGGTACGGTGCTGACAAACCTAGAAACATAATCGGGGCGAACCAGGATTCGAACCCACAATCATAGGTTTCTGGCGTGCCCAATGGACGCAACTCTGCACAGCGAATCGCGGTGCCTTAGACGACTGGGCCACCCGTGCCCCCTCTTGGTGCTGAAGCCACTGGAGGATCCACCATTTTGGTGAGACAGGATGTGATCCACAGTCCCCCTGATACAAGTCTCCAAGCTGTTGCTCTGGGGACGTACTTTTCTTATTGCATTTACTCTGCGCTCCTATATTCTTCAGCGATCTGATGAACAAGCTCCATATGGCGGGCGTCCTAAAAACTGTGTTATAAAGGGTGATTTAAACGGTCAAAATCCCTCAGGTTATTGTATCCAGCAACTATTTTTGAAATGTGACAACATTGGCGTCGTTTCTCACCAACGAGCCTGCACGTGGCATGTTCAGATACGTGTTGTACAGTGACAAGGTGTCCGAACTTATGGGCAGATTCTTTTAAACAGAAGTATCTTGTGTTTTGACAAAGCTTTAGATGATATTGATGTCTCAATAGATTTATTCACCAGCACTGTATGTAACTCTGCGGAATCTTGATAGCCTTGATATGATATCCTTGGAATGATAAAGAACGCTCATTTTTAGGATGGAAAGAGACATGCTACTTAAATGTTGTAAACGTGACAAAGATAATTTTTCATCACAACTGTACATCACAATCAAATCTCGGAATATGTCAACCAGTACCCTACGTGATGAGAAACGTCTACGCTCTGATAATATGAAACGTACATTATTATCTAGCATGCTTGATGCCAAAAGGGTTTGGGGGACTCTAAAACAATTCAAAATTTTAGATTTACATATATCGCCAATAACGACTGAAAGGTAGTGCGAATATTTTAAAGATTAATTTGACACTGCTGAACATTTGAATGAGAATGACGGCGAAGCTGTCTTTGTCAGCGGGACTGATGCATACACACATAAGTACATATTCATTAGTCTCTCCAACTACTTAGGAGGAAATATTTAAAGCCATTGAGGATATGAAATGTAATAAATCCTCGGCTATTTTCCAGCTTCATGCTGTACTAGCATAATTATTCCATTGCATAAAAAAGATGATACTCACTCCCCGAACAATTGCAGAAGATTGTTTGATAGGCATTACTTAGAAGTTGACGGATGACAAGGTAGACACAATTTTATGGATAACAACTTCTTTAATACTGTGAAAAGCGACGTTTCGGTATAGATCCTTATACCGTTGACAAGCAAGACTGAATGAGGGTTACTTACTTATATTGGAGATTTTACGTGCGCTTTCCGACTGCAAGCGTATGTCGCACACGGGCCCGCCAGGCCATTTAATGTGTTTCCGAAAGGGGGGGGGGGGGGGGGGGGGGAAGTGGGGGTGCAACCCAGGAGGGGGGTTTAAGGGTTGCTTATATAGTAATTTGGAGATTTTGAGATTTGGAATGAATGTCAAGAGTAGGTAGAGGGCGAACTTAGGGAGCTGTGTGTGGTAGGTGGTTTGTTAGTTTATGTGATTTTGGTTTTATTAGTTTATTTGGGGTTTAAATGCGACTAATTAGTCCTGTTTTAATTAAGTTAATCTTATTTATTTTGTGGATTTAGGATTGATTCTGGAGTAAGTGCAGTATTAAGATTTAGGGTGGTTTGTAGTGTGGTTCGGTGTGTTTGGTAGTGTGTGCAGTGAATGAGTACGTGTTCTGGTGTTTCTTGTTGTTTGTAGTGTGGTTCGGTGTGTTTGGTAGTGTGCGCAGTGAATGAGTACGTGTTCTGGTGTTTCTTGTTGTTTGTAGTGTGGTTCGGTGTGTTTGGTAGTGTGCGCAGTGAATGAGTACGTGTTCTGGTGTTTCTTGTTGTTTGTAGTGTGGTTCGGTGTGTTTGGTAGTGTGCGCAGTGAATGAGTACGTGTTCTGGTGTTTCTTGTTGTTTGTAGTGTGGTTCGGTGTGTTTGGTAGTGTGTGCAGTGAATGAGTACGTGTTCTGGTGTTTCTTGTTGTTTGTAGTGTGGTTCGGTGTGTTTGGTAGTGTGTGCAGTGAATGAGTACGTGTTCTGGTGTTTCTTGTTGTTTGCAGTGTGGGCAGGTTCCTGTTGCGTGTAGTTTAGCTATATTAAGGTAGTTATTTAGTTTGGTGTGGCCTATTTGTAGTTTAGTGATTATTCTATCGATTTTTTTGGATGGGTGTAGTATTTTTGGTTTAGTTAGGGTTTTTTAGAGAATTTTTCTGATTTGGCTATTTGAGTTTAGGTATATATTTGGCGATTTTTTGGTGATTTTTTGTTTAGTGGCACTTTTAATTTCTGATTTTGAGATCGTTAGGTTTAAGCTTATTTCTGGGAGTTTAAGGGATAATTTGGCTGCTTTATCGGCGTTTTCGTTGCCAAAGATTCCTACGTGGGCGGGTATCCAGATGAATTCTATTTGTTAGAATGAGGGTTACTTACTTAAATTAGGAATTTAACGTGCGCTTTCCGACATATACGTATTTCGCGCACAGGCCCGCCAGGCCATTTGGTGTTTGGTCCGAAAAGGTGAGGCAACCTAGGTGGGGCTCTTTAGGGTTGCTTACTTAATTTGGAGAACAATTTTGGAATTTTGAAATATGCCATAAAAGCTGTGGGGGGAGACTAAAAGGAGTTTGTGTGTTTTTATAGGTTTAGAATTTTAGGGTTTATTGGCAGCTTGTTTGTTGTACCTTTATTTTTAAATGCGACCAAGTAGGCCTGTTTTGATTAGATATATGCCTAGTGCTTTAAAGATTGTTAAGTCATTTAGGGGATTCAGTACAGTTGCTAGTTTCATTTGATTGTTGCAATTTAGTGTGGATTGGAGTGTTGTTCTGTGTTGCTGGTAATATGTGCAATATAGTATTACGTGTTCGGGCGTTTCTTTTAAGTTGCAGTTGGGGCATTTACCGGTTTGGTGTGGCCTGTTTGTAGTTTAGGTATTACTCTGTCAATTTTTTGGTTTTATGATGGATTTTTTTTTTTTTTTAGTGGCTTTTGTAGCAGGTGTTTCAGTTTACAATCAGATTTCTGGTAGTTATTTTGCCACTTTTGGAAGATTTTTGCCTTTGTGATACTTTTAAATTCGTTTTTTTATATATATTGGTAGGTTGATGCTTACTTCTAATTTTAGTGCTGATTTGGCTGCTTTGTCTGCGTATTCGTTGCCAAACACTCCAACGTGGGCAGGGATCCAAACTATTTCTATGTCTTTACCTAGTTTACGTAGATTGTTGGCGCTTTTAATTATCTGTTGTATTAGGTTTTTTGTGTTTTTGTTTTTTATGGCCTGGAGCCCACTTAATGAGTCTGAGAGGATTAGGGTTTTTTGGTGTCTGTTTATTTGATCGCTGTGCAGGGCTGTTACTATCCCCATCAATTCGGCTGTGAAAATTGATTGATTATTTGGGAGCCAATATGATTGTGTTTCTTTTTGGGGTTTGTTGATATGGATGCCGAATCCTGTGCGTTTTGAGCTCGGGTCAAAGGACCCGTCTGTGTAAATGTGACACCAATTTGGCCATTTCTTGAATGTATGCTAGTGTGATGGATTTAGCGGTATTTGGATCAGTTTCTTTATTTAGTCTGGTGGAGAGAGATATGTCGATTTTGGGGGGTTGAAGTTTGGGTGTGAAGGTATTATTTGGGGCTGTGTGTATTTAGGTAATTTATTATGCGTTGAGAGATTGGTGTTAATTGAGGGGGTTTGCGAGCTAGAGCTTGGAGTCTGGGGTTAATGTTAGTTTTAAGGATCTGTTGGATTTGTTGGTTTTGTTGGGTTGAGGCCCAGTAATTTATTGTTAGATGTTCTCGGCGAAGATCCAGGGGTATTTCGCCTGTTAGTGCCTGTAGCGATATGCGCGGCGAGCCATGCTGAGTGCGTGTGATTATCTTGCGTGCTTGATATTGGATTGAGTTTAATTTATCGCTTAATGAGGAGTTTAAGGTGTTGTATATTTGGCATCCACAGTCTATTTGTGATCCAATTAGTGATTTGTAAAGTGACAGTAGGGTCTCCTTTGAGGCCCCCCTGTTGGAGCCTGTCAGGCAGCGTAGTGTGTTTAGGTCTTTAGTGCATCTATTTGTTAGGTGTTTAATGTGAGCACCCCAGGTGAGGTGTTCATCAAAGATTAGTCCAAGGAATTTGGTTTCTTTTTGGAATTGTATGTTTTTCTTTGTTTAGTTCTAGTTTGGGGGTGTTTGCACGCATATTTGTGTTTGAATACTATCCCTGTGTTTTTTTCGGCATTTAGTGAGAAACCCAATTTATTTGCCCATATTTGAATTTTATTTGAACTTATTTGAATTTTGATTTTAGAATGAGGGACTTAGTACAGAATATATATAGTAGGTGGAGGATTAACAGTAACAACAATTGCATATATGAGTGGGATAACATAGGTAGGTGTTGACAAGGGGATAAAACTGTCACAACGCGATGGACAGAGAACACATAGGTGGAAGCCAATGGGACATGAAGCCAATTAAACAGGATAAGTGATTATTGCTTGATGAGTTCATAGTAGGCGGATGGGATGAAATTGCTTTGATCGCTGTTGATTGATGGCTTGTGGCGGCGAATGTTGATTGCTTCTGTTAGTTTTCTTTTTGTGAAATCATGGATGTTGTTGGCGAGGATTTGAACGTTTTCCCAGTTGATGTTGTGATCAGGACGGTTTTTTATATGGTCCGAGATGGCTGATTTACTGTCGGATTTAATGGTGGAGGTTTTATGCTCTTTCATTCTGGTGTTGACTGGGCAGGATGTTTGACCTACGTAAGACTGTCCATAGTTGAGTCAATTTTGTAAACTACACCTTTAGGCTCTTGGGGTTTGGTTGTGTTCCTGCCGTTGGCTCTTAATAGGGTCTTGGGGGAGTTGGAGCTGGTGAAGTGGGTGTCGATGTTGGCTTGCTGTTTGAGGAGGCGGCTGATGATGTGGGAGGCTTTTCCGATGAACGAGAGGGCGATGCGGAAGGGCGCTGATTCGGGTTTAAGGGTCGCAGGTCTGGATGTGGGATGGAGTACTGAGGTGATGACTTTGTCGACGAGATTGGGTGGATAATAGTTGAGGTGGGTGAAGACTTGGCGGAGGTGTTCGATCTCAGGTTTGGGGTCAGCAGAAGAAAGGTTGTTGGCACGTTTGGTAAAGGTGGAGATGATGCCAGTCTTGGTTCTAAGAGGGTGGTTAGGGTTGAAGTGGATATACTGGTCGGTGTGGGTGGGCTTCCGGTAGACACTGGTTTGAATTCTGTTAGCTGAGTTTCTACAAACGAGGACATCTAGGAAGGGTAGTTGGTTGTCCTTTTCTATTTCGATGGTGAACTGTACTCGGGGGTGTTGTTGGTTAAGATGTTGTAGTAGCAGGGTTGGGTTTTGATCTTGTTTTAGGATGACAAAGGTGTCGTCAACTTTCCTGTACCAGCAAATAGGTTGGATGGGTGATGTGGTGAGGTCTTGCTGTTCGAAGTGGGTCATGTAGATTTCAGTAAGGATAGGAGACAGTGGGGATCCCATGCGTAGGCCGTGTATCTGTTGATAGTACTCGTCGTCCCTGGTGAAGTAGGTAGAGGAGATACAGGCGGTGGTGAGGGCGATGATAGAATCAGTAGATAGGCTGGTTTCAAGAGGAGTTTTGGTGATGCGACGGCGGAGAATTTGTGAGTGAGTGACTTCTATGGGTACGTTGGTGAAGAGGTCTACTACATCGTAACTGATGATTTGATCTGGATCGGTGATGTTCTTGAGTTTGGAGCAGAAGTCCGTGGAGTCAGAGATGAAGGAGTCGGCTGTTTTTCCTAAGGGGGCAAGGATTCTGGTTAGGTGATGGCCGTTTTGTAGCACACTCGGGAACACACAAGTATACGGGCTTTAGGAGGGTTCTTGTGGATTTTGATGGTGGCTCTGGCATAGGGTGGTTGGGGGTGATTGACGGAGAGTTGGTGGTGAAGAACTTGGCTAATTTCAAAGTTGTCTTTTAGTTGTTTTAGGAGGGCTTTATGTTGGCGAAGGAGTTTGGCAGTTGGGTCCGTCTTGATCTTGGTGTAGGTGGTGGGGTCTTGGAGGATGTTGTTCACTACCTCATGGAAGTGGTTAGTGTCGCCCTCCCGTTCATAGGAAAAGCCTCCCACATCATCAGCCGCCCCCCTAAACAGCAAGCTAACATCTACACCCACTTCACCAGCTCCAACTCCCTAAAGAATCAGAAAAGATGATAAATTGTTTACATGCAGACTGTCGTTTAATGTATACTAAGGCTGTAAGGATAGCATTGGCCTCAGCAGTGAAAATAGAGCTATTGCCTGGTATTCTAGATAATAAATGTTTTGATCCAACGACAGTGGCTCATGCCACTTTGCCACCATCCTTGGATCCATCAGTAAAGACTGAACGGTGAGTGTCGTATTTATTTCTTAATCGTACATATTCCAGTTGATATATAAGTTGATTTGTGTCATATATAATAAAACGGGTTAGAGAAACGTCTACTTCTGGCCTCACCAGCTGCCAGGGAGGAGTATTGGACGATTTTGGTGAGATAATATCTAGGTCTATATTTGCAGCAATAATATGTGGTTTGACCCGAATTCCAAGTGTTGGAACCAGCTTTGTTTTTTTCTGAAACAGTACGTCATATAGGGGATGAGAAACGGAGTCATATGCAGGATTAGAGTGTAATTTAGCGATATATTGAGGAGACAATTTAATACGGCGTTCTTTCAGACAGGGTTCATCAGTCTCGACATAGAGACTGTCAACAGGAGAAGTTCTAAAAGCACCAAGGCATAGTCTTAGTCCCTTATGGTTGATTGAGTCTAGCTGTTTTAAATTACTGTTGTAAGCTCCATCTTACTCAATAATAATAATAATAATAATATTAATAATAATAACAATAATAATAATAATAATAATAATAATAATATAGGTTATTAATGTGTCATGTGTACATGATACACCTGGCCATTACTGGCCTAAAAGACACCTAAATTTATACAATCAATAAAATACATAAATAAAATATTATAACTAACAATATCTTCATATGTATACAGCAAACCCCATCCACCCACCCACCAACCCTCCCCCCGCCCCACAATGGAGCCATAGTCCAATTAGAACGGATTAATGACCTATATAAGTGAAGGAGAGTTTGAATTTGAGACGACTTTCAATAAATCTAGGGCCTTCAGGCATTTAGTCTTTAAATATTTAATATGTGGCAAAAACGTCAAATGGTGGTCGAAAATCAATCCCCAAAACTTTGCTTCTTTTACATTCTTAATTGGAGTGTTATCTTAAAAGAGCTCTTGGTATTTATGGGGTTTATATTTCCGAAAGAAATGTATACAAAAGGTTTTAGTCAAATAACTAGGAGTGATGACGTAGATTGTGCTGGGGATTAATTAATGCAGTTGTGAAGTACTGTAAGTCCCCATGGTCCCCAGTCAGGGTGTCTAGCTTAAGTTGCCGGTGGTTTATAGCTTGTATTTTAATACGTGTAGTATGATATTTAATATTGACGTGTTGAATTTATGTCTTTAGTATTTTCTGAAATTATTAGTTTCAAGACTTCACTTTGTAACATTAAGCTAATATTTTCTGTCATTTGTGACAGGTATTTATGAATAAAATTGGTTGTGTCACTTCATAGCTCAAGTTTGTGTCGGTGACATTGGCATGGTACGTGTTTGCAATGCAAGGGAGACAATTCACTCGACTAGTCAATGAAATGACAGCAGTGTGGCATGTCAGATTGACATTGTCTACAGCAGCATGACATGTTAGACTCTGCTTGTCTCCAGCAGTCTCCTCTCCGGCACAGAACATCTTCATTTATGTTGGCATCTGAAATAGTCTTTCCTGGCCGAAACTTGGACAAGAAGATGAATGTGTGTATTTAATCAAGACTGTTCAAGATGAAATTGGGACAGTCGGGTAGCCTAGTGGTTAAAGCGTTCGCTCGTCACGCCGAAGACACGGGTTCGATTCCCGACATGGGTGCAATGTGTGAAGCCCATTTCTGGTGTCCCCCGCCGTAATATTGCTGGAATATTGCTAAAAGCGGCGTAAAACTATACTCACTCACTCAAGATGAAATTAGGGTAATGTCCAGGTGGAGAACGAACGTTGTAATAAGGTGTATTGCTGAGCGCGGCGTCAAACTACATACAAAACAAAAACAAAACTAGATTGCATCTGTATTCAATCAGCTCGGTCAAAATCATTTGGTTTGAGGGATGAATTTGTCTTAAGCATGTGCTAATAGGTGATTTGATTGATGCGTGTCATGTATCCCAATTGCGTTGAATCACTGGATTGTCCGGTCGAACATTTACAAACCGCCGTCATATAGCTTAAATTTTGCGGCGTTAAACAACAAACAGACATTAAACATCGAACGAGACTGTTGTTGATTCTGTTATCGGTGGCGACAGAGTGAGTGATGCGACATAAAATCATTAAATATGCGGTGATTTGAGACCAAATACCTTCGGTTATCGCTACGGGCTTCAGGTATGCGTCCGTCTTAAAGCATCTGAACGCTTTAATTTACCCACCAGTCATATCAAGTGAAGTCGGCTTGACTATGTTTATAATCTCGTTGAAGTTGAGGGCGTCTCAAATAATTGAAATGAGTTTATATGCGTTTTGTCATCCAGCACGGAAGTTACTTCACAACTGAACATGACGTGATTTCCCATTGTTAAGTATTAACGAACAGAATCCATCACCGAGCATACTGAAATATTTACAGACATACCAATATACATACACAGATATATCGGCCCGTGAAGATCCGGGTTAGAATAGGTCTTCAGCAACCCATGCTTACCGTAAAAGGCGACTTTGCTTGTCGTAAGAGGCGACTAACGGAATCGGAAGGTCAGGCACGCTGATTTGGCTGATGCATGTCATCGTATCTCAATTTATACGTGGATCGGTGCTCATGATGTCAATCACTGGATTGTCCGGTCCAGGCTGGATTATTTACAGACCGCCGTCATATACCCGACATATTGAGTGCAGGGTTAAACAACAAACGAAACCAAGTCATCAGTAGCAACTTGGGTGGATAACTGCTGACACATTTCTGTGCATTTACAATTAGTTTAATGCAATGGTGTGCTTGTTTGAAGAAATTAACACAAAAAGCATTTTGATTAAAACTGTTTTACTAGAAAAATGCCATAGCGTAACTCATGGATTGGAACGTCAAACCATCAAAGCTCTTCCTCTCTCAGAGTACCGGCGTTGTCATAGACATGATCCGTGGTTGTATTGGGACTATATGAATGTTTACTTTCCGATCGGCGACACATGTGTACGACTTCATACAAGAGAATGATACTGCCTCCTACGATATACCAGGCCCCAGTGACATAGAATGATATGGCGTAGTCTCCGGTCAAATCGTACAACCAGCCTGAAATGGTTAAATAGTTAAATAATGTGGAGAGGTTGAACATTGAAATCATCCAGTAGAGCGAATGATAATAACAACAATAATAATAATAATAATAATAGTAATAATAATGGTGGTTTGATTAATGTGGAGGCTCTTCATGATAGAATTGTTTTGTGCACTTTTGCACACATTTATTTGTCTGATGATCCTCTTGTGAAGCATGTGAAGACTGATGATGAAAACAAGACATTCCACAGTTTTCCAAAACGAGCCAAGGATGTGGGACATAATCTCAATGTCGGTGGTGATTTTGTTGATGGTTCTGTAGTGCTGGACGGTACAGAAATGAGTGTCCACCAAGCGAATTGCCATATCAAATCGGCCCAGATTCAGTTTTTCAAGGAGAGGCTTTCTGAACGACCACTGCATCGAGTTTACGTGCAGTGTGTTGAGAAAATAAGCAACCCTGCAGAGTCCTTAACTTGGATGAAGTCGTCTGGCCTGAAAAGTGAAACTGAAGGCTTTCTGTTTGCTGCTCAGGACCAGTCACTGGAAACAGTCAATGTGCGATTTGCATCAAAATGTGAATACTAAATGCAGATAATGTAATGAATTTAATGAGACTGACCAACACATTGTCAGTGGATGCCCAGCCTTGGTACAAACACAGTATCTTGAACGACATGATGGTGTATATCGATCATTTTATTACCGTCTTCGTCATGCTTGTGGTTTTGACACAGAGGTCCACCCATGGTACGTCCCGGAATATGTAGAGGGCGTCATGGAAAAGGATAAATATAAAATTCTTTGGAATAGGCCCTTATACAGCCTCAGACGTATCCAGGCAAACAAACCTGATCTTGTCCTTTTTTAAAAATCCAATGAAATCATAAAAGATCACTGAATTTTCTGTCCCCTTTGACACTAATGTGATTGACAAGATTAAGGAAAAACATGGCAAATATGTGGACCTCGCTTTCGAAATGTCACGCTTGCATCCCAAGTACCAAGTTGTCCGACACCCCATTGTTCTCGGTGTCTTAGGTTGGTACCTCCCAATCTGTTGACTGACATTGGGAGAGTACCTGTGTTTGCTACCAGGAATACAGCCCTTCTGACAATCTGGGTAAAGTTCTGGTTGGGTTTGTCTATGCAGCGCTTCCTGGGAGAAGTCTCATTCACTGTCTGGGCTGCGTGTAGGGGGGGAAAAGGCCCTGAGCTGATGTGGCGTCAATTGCAGCGACTGCGCTTGTTCTTGTCTTCAGTCGTCACATACGATTCGATCTCCAACATCAACGACATGACGAGGCAACATCGACTTCAGCGTTTGTGATGGGCACATCAAGTTCAATGTTGGCAACGTGTGCTCTTTTCCGACGGGAGCAAAGCTGATGTCTGAACACAAATCTACCTTAGTGGCAAGAGAACTCGACACCGTCCCATTCCTCACAGGTCCTCAGAGGGACATAAAGGGCAATTCCTGACGGCGTCGTTAAACGCCTAACAAACCGCCATCGAGGGCACCCTTGCATGATTCCACTTGGAGGACATACACATTACTGAATCACTGATATTCATTTAGTGACAAGTTATCACCACTGTCGTTACATTAAATCGCACAGTGACATTTGAAGGTAGTTATTGCTTATCAGGGTTTATATCATGTCAGTACTAAACTTTCGAAATTCAACGTTTGCATCAGCTTGTATATATTTAATTTTTGTAATTATGAAAACCTGATCAGTCTACTGTGGACCCTCAGTCAAAAGAAGAGTACCATACACCTTCGGTACTCACCAGCAAACGGTGATCCCAGGAAGACGACGACTCCTTCCAAACAGATGAGGAGTCCGAATCCTTCACTGAGTTTGTCTACACCAATGATGTCTGCCACAACAACTGGTTGGAGGTACATCCAGATACCTGGACAAACAAAAACATAATGTTTTCAGAAGCACCTATACACCGGAAAACCCCTACAGAAACGTTTTGTTGACGTTAGGGAAAAGTGTGTTTCACTCTCCTACCCAGGGTTCCATGCGGCCAGCCCATCAACTCAGGCCAGCAACATGTGATGATTCGTGACATCTTCCAAAGTCTATCAAAATATTACATATGTTTTTCATCTGTTTCAATTTTGACGAGTCTACACATTTAGTTAAACATGTGTCACAGAATAGTTACCTTATATTGAGAAAAAAACCACTCGATACGTTCATAAAAATATATTCTCACGCACCTCACTGTTGCAGCTGTAGTAAGTATATCTATATCATTATGTACAACGATATGTTAAATGCACAGACAGATTTGCATTTAGCCATTCTGTTCCGATTTCAGAATGAGCCTGTTTGTTTACAAATGAGAGAAAAGTCTGGTCACGAGATATATAAATCAGCTGGTGGCAGTGGAATAATGCCAAGTCACCACAGTGCAGGAGTGTGAGTGTGTTTAGCAAGAGATATTGCAGCTTATTTAGAAGTAGTTCCTGACTGGTGACCTCATTTAATTGACTGGGTCGTGACACCGAGTTGGTTTCTGAAAACAACCATGACTTCTAATCACCCGGCACTTTATGATAAACTTATATCTATTCCAATGCTCTAGACAAACTCGTGAATATCTTATCACACAGCATCTTGTAAATACTAGTATACAAACCCAAGAATATCCCAAAGAACGCTGAATATGCCATCAGTGTTGGAAATGACACCAACTTTGGACACGCCATGGAGGCAGCACCACACAGAATACTGGCTGAAGCAAAGAAAGCCACTCTGTTGACACACGGGATGTCGGATATCCGACCAAATATCAAGCGTCCCACCAGGCTGGCTATACCGATGACTGATATCAGCCACGCTGATTTTTCTTCTGGGATGTCCAGATCATTTGCCAGGTCTGGGAGATGGTTAAATGGGATGGTGTAAGGAAAAGCCCCGATCACGGCTCCAACAACATAAACGGTGTATCTGATGTTGGTGAACGTTGAGAAGATGGATTTGACTTGGAAGCAGAAAGCTGCACGAGAGCAGGCCCTGGCAGTCTCCCTTGTGTCTCCATCGGAAAGAAAGACATCAAAGAAAACCTTTTATACATGTTACGCATATGGTTTGATGGGAAAAGAAAGCGGTTGACAGACGTTTACTCCATTGACCAAACTCAGTATGTTGCTAAAAAGAGCACGGAATATGCGGATTCTGATTATAACCCAGGACAAAGGATTATTTTAAGCCTTCATAACCCCCCTGCAACCACCCATATCTTTACAGAAATTTGTTTGAGAAAAAGTTTGATATTACACTCGTGGCTGCCACCGCCACATAGAAACACTTCTATTTTGTAAGGCCAATCCACATATACCTTCTACGTCGTCTGTTCTACGTCCTATTGGTTTCAATCTTACCTGATGTTCTTGATTGGGTTTTCATATATTTGAGTTCCTGCCTGGTGTAAAACGGCCTGAAAAGTGCCCCAAACACTGCACAGTTGAGGACAAGCCCACCTGTAATCAACAACGCCCCCTTCCAGGAGTACTCTGACATCATCACCTGCAGAAGAGGGGGAATGACTAGTGTTCCAAGACCTCCTCCAACAGACCCAAGGGCGTTGGCCAAAGACCGTCGTTTCTCAAAATACTGGTTCGTGATGACAACAGCCGACATATACAGCAGGCTGAAGCCTAAACCTGGAGAATGAGAAGGGTATATGAAAATGAATGATCATAAAATACGTAAAAAATTATCAGGAAGACTGGAATGTGTTCACAATTGTTGGTTTGTCTGTTGATTGCTTGCACTTCACACAGATATCAAGACAGAAACCCGGTACAGATCGTTCAATTGTCCATGGTTCTGCATTTTGCTGTAAATATATAGCAGAAATAATATGTAAGGAGACCCAAATGTATTCAGAATCATATGTAAAGATATGACGTTTTGAATTTCTCCATAAAAAAATCTATACTTCGTCCGTTCCCCATGTGTATCGATGCAGGCACGACCTCTTCTGTGCATTCTGGAAATCAAACGCCAGATTGTCTCCTGTGGTAGCTTTGCCATTCTCTTTTGAAGGCCTGCCCAAACCGTTTCAAATTCTTTGGAGGTTTGGCTGGCCTGGGCAGTGTTGTGACACCTTACTGTCTTTGACAGAGGACGAGGAAATTCTGATCAATGCACTGGGCATGACTACTGGACGTGAAATGTGGTCCACATAACGTTGACCGGTAATATATCCTTGCACGATTATCACATCCGTCCTGTTTTCATCTGTGATTCCAGCCAAGACCGCGATGCTGCGACCACCGAAGCTATCCTGCTGCCGGATAGTAGCTCTCGCCATGCCGTCCAAGACCACATTGTCTGTTATATGTAACGTACACAGAACCTCAATTCATCAAGAAACATGGAGTTTAACTTCAATGCCGCTGTTGACGCCCTCCATACACCTGTGCCGATTGTTGTCTGAGGCCATGATTGCTGGCTTCACCAGGTTATAAGTCATTTTGGCCTTTCTTCCCTGATTAGGCTGTCAAGCAGGCATATAACTGAAATTTTGTTTAAAGCTGATTTGAGAACATCTCACTCACTTCAGCCCATTCTTCATCATGGCTCTTACCTTGGAGGACGCCATAGCTGAGATACAGGAAGAGCAGACTGTCAGCCAGGAAACTGACACTGCAGCCTACACACGCCAACACAGCCCCCAGTACGGCTGTCGCTCGAGTTCCCAGCAGTCCAAGGACGACCACCCCCACGGGTCCTAGGCAAATATAATGATGTTATTAAAATCACCTTATTATCAAAGAACAAGGCTTTTGTGCTCATGTAGGTGCAATCCCTTTTTTACATGTATACCGCCAAAACGCAAAATTCTCATGAATGAATAAGTAAAAAATAATTACTTCACATAACTCATATTTAGTCATTAACTCAAGAATAGTATTACATTTAATCGAAATCCGTGATATCCAAGTGCCAGGATTCATAACGGTATTCACAATTTATATCACTGCTCTAGGAACCGACAATTTAATATTGGACGCTTTGTATAGTTTTGTATGTCAGAGACTTACATAGCTGTTTTCTATCACTGCTTCAAAACATGCATTGGTTTCCCTGAAACACACACACACACACACACACACACACGCACGCACGCACGCACGCACGCACGCACGCGCGCGCGCAGGTTTCCATGTAATAATCTTGGACACGACGTTAAGCTACCATCCACGGTTAAATCCACTATAAATATAATATCTCACCAAGCAGTAGGACGAGGCCACTGAGAAGAGATCCAATCCAGGCTGTCTCACCCCGAGAACTTTTAAACTGATCCAGGAGCTCCACGTATATGACGCCGAATGACTGCATGAGTCCAAACACAATGAAGTGGATGTAGAACGAGCCCAGCACGCACACCCAGGCCCAGCCAGTGTCCTTCTGACGAGCCATAGCTGATGAGACAGGCAGCAGTGAGCTGTAAGATGAGGATGTATGAGTGAGTGAGGTGGTCTAAAGCGCCGCAGTTCGCTGTCGCACTTCCCCCAGGCGTGCCCTGATTATACGATCGGGGGTTCGAATCCCAGAAAGGTGTTTTTAGCATTCTCCATAGTGAATGTGCAATTCGGGTATTCCTCCGTGATCAATTACAGTGGAAATATCCAGTGGTAATTGTGTGAAGCATAGGTCCTCCAAAATAGTCTTACTTATTCGAATTAACATATTCCCGTGTGTCAAAAAATTGAAATGTATACATTGGGACAGTACAATAACTAAACTTATCACAGAAATATATTTAAAACTAGTATGGAATCAAAGCATGGAGGGGGCACGGGTGGCCCAGTTTCTATGGCGCCGCGATTCGCTGTGCAGAGTTGCGTCCCTTGGGCTCGCCAAAAACCTATGATTGTGGGTCGAATCCCGGTTCGCCCCGATTATGTTTCTAGGTTTGTCAGCACCATACCCGTTCTCGTGGGTTTCACCGAAGTGGTAAACGTCTGAGACTTGCATCACTTCGGGCTTTCCTCCCACATTAAGCTGACACGCCGTGACATAACTGGAACTCTGTTTAAAGCGGCGTTACTCATGTTTAGCATGGATAGCACTAAACAACGCCGGCAACTGAAGGTAGATCACCATACTAAGGACCATGGGGACTTACAGTACTTTAGTTACCTGCATGGACTTGTGTCACAGTGTATCAGCCAGTGTTGGATGCAGTGATGCAGATCTCAGACGTGTGTCCTAGTGAAGCCCATGAACACAGTGTGTTGACAAACCTATAGAAATAGGTCGAATATTCAGGTCCCACAAGCCCACGGGTTTCTATCACGCCAAAGGGTCGCGACCCGCCTCGCAAAGACGATTATATTCACTGTCGGTATATTATAACTCTTCATAATGCATGGATCTTTATACAGCGGTGTGCGGTGATACCTTGCAAGGGGCAGGTAGTGGGGAGACAGGTTTCTTTGCTAATTTTACTATGCCTTTAACTCCTTAGACTCCTTAGGCTACATTTTCCAAACCACGGCGTCACTGTAATATTTACGCCACACAAGAAAACTCCATTCACTGCACCCAATATCTTGTAGCAGAAAATGTAATCACTTCTAAACGCGGAGTCTACGTGGGTGTACATGTAGAATGAACCCGAATAGCTGTAAAGTTTCAATTCTTTCGATGCCTGTTTGAATAAATCGGCATTTTGATTAAAAATATTTTACTTGAAAGTCGCCACAACATATTGGATTGGAACGTCACACCATCAGAACTCATCCTCTCGCACAGTACCGGCGTTGTTGTAGGAATGATCCTTGGTTGTATTGGGACTACATGTTTATTTTCTGATCGGTGACACATGTATGCGACTTCATATAAGAGAATGACAGTCCCTCCTACGATGAACAAGGCGTGGTTTAATTTACGTGGAGGCTCTTCGTGATAGTATTGTAATGTTCACTTTTGCACACATCTATTTGTCTGATGATCCTCTTGTGAAGCATGTCAAGACTCAAGATGAAAACGAGGCATTCCGCAGTTTTTTTAAACGAGCCAAGGATGTGGGACATAATCTCAATGTCAATGTTGATTCTGAGTGCCGATCAAGCAAAGTGCCATATCAAATCAGACTCACACTCCCAGACTCCGGGAGAGGCTATCTTAACGACCACGGCATCGAGTTTGGGTGCAGTGTGTTGAGAAGATCAGCAACCCTGCATGAGTTCTTCGTCTGGATTAAGTGGTCCAGTTGTCTAAGGCGCCGCAATTCGCTGTGCAGAGTTGCGTCCCCTGTGCACGCCAAAGACCTATGATTGTGGGCTCGAATAGCGGTTCGCCTCGATATATTTTCTAGGTTTGTCAGCACCATACCCGTGCTCGTGGGTTTCACCGAAGTGGTAAACCTCTGTGACCTGCATCACCTCGGTCTTTCCTCCCATTGAAACTGACACGCCGTGATATAACTGGAATAATATTTAAAACGGTGTTAAACCCGACTCACTCACTAATCTTGCAGAAAATGAGTATCATCAAATATGTTCCAAAGAAGTTTGCATGATATCCATATGTTAACATGTTTTGTGTACTCAAGTCAACCTAAAATAGCACATTAGTCATAGGAATTGTATGTCCTGATTGAATAAATGGTGTTAAGCACGAGTCTATGTCGAAGGTCTTACAGCAGTCATTTACGGGAGAAGGATAATCCGCTATTCCAAGTTGTAAGTGGGTTAATATATAAATTACTCATTTACATTTCAAGAGTGAAAATGAAGAAAAACGTATGAATTGTGAACCCTGCAGGTTATCTACACTGAGGGAAACCTATTGTTCAGATGATGAAATGTGTGTTTGTTTGTTGTTTAACGCCGCACGCAGCAATAGTCATGCTATATGACGGCGGTCTGTAAATAATCCAGCCTGGACCAGACAATCCAGTGATTGACATCATGAGCATCGATCTACGCAACTGATACGATGACATGCATCAACCAAGTCAGCGAGCCTGACCACCCGATCCCGTTAATCGCCTCTTACGACAAGCATAGTCACCTTTTACAGCAGGCATGGGTTGCTGAAGATCTATTCTTCCCCGGATCTTCACGGATCTGATGACATGTAACGCCATGAACGACGGGTGACGTCATCAACGAAGCACTGCGATTCCATGTGTATTCAAATGACAAATCAGAATTGAGAACCGTTAAAAGTGCACATGAAAGTTATCACACGCGATCATTCTAGATGTACCGTTATGTGTAATCAGGGGCGGTCAAGTAGCCTAGTTGTTAAAGCGATCGCTCGTCACGCCGAAGACCCGGGTTCGATTCCCGACATGGGTACAATGTGTGAAGCCCATTTCTGGTGTCCCCCGCCGTGATATTGCTGGAATATTGCTAAAAGCGGCGTAAAACCATACTCACTCACTCATGTGTAATTATAAGTTACATATTACCACAACGACGTGAATCATTGCTCATGATACTGATCACTAGATTGTATGGCCCAGGTTCGTTTGTTTATATGACGCAGTCGTATGTCAAAGAGCTTTGCTATGAAAATCTGTGTCATCGGTGATTTTCAGCGATCCATTCACATCATTTACATCACAATTTTGCCGAATTTGTCATTTTGAACTTTGAACTCTGCACTTGTATTTACTTTGATTAAAATCTTTTTAAAAAAATAAAGGGAAAAGATTTCGCATAACACACAACTGTTGATGGTTTTCTTAGAATCTTAACTTTGAAAATAGAAATCATGTTTTTTTGCACAAATTTACGATTTCAATCATGTGGTTACAAATATATTTCCTACAACATTGAACCATTTGAACCCAATCACATATTGCGTTTTACTAACTGTTACAGGAATGAGAGATGGTTAAATGGACATGATCAAATTTTACATTTCTTTCAATTTTCAATTACATAAAAAGATAGCTCGGGGTACTGTCTTTTGCCCCTCAGTTAATGTGTATAGCTGGATTCCAGCGTGGACGTCATGCATCAGAATGGTGAAGCAGTGTTGAACATATGTAACTCATATCAAAACAGTAAATGGATATTATAACAGTATCATTGGAACAATTCTTCAACGGATTGACATGAGTATTGATTTAGTAATATAGGTAAGTGATGGGAAATAGATATTGACAGCATTTCATTACATGATGCTGGAATAAGTTGATATCCTCCAACGTTTCATGACTTCAAGCATTTGATAGTGGAACGAGCATACCTTTGTTGGTTAGCGATGTTATATATTCTGCTTTAAGGAAAGTACCAGCGTGAGAGACGTGACTAGCATTGTTGTATGTGATTACAAACTGGAACGCAATACACCAGAGACATGCAAGTGAATAATATACATTTCTTGATGTTTAACGAGACCAACATTTTGTCATTCTTTGTTTAAAATTCATGTTATCATTAACCGTAGTAGTTGAACAGTCGTCTTCTATATTTAATATCAAACAAGTGTGTTGATTGGCTTTCACTGTCGATATGAACAATGACGCGGTTCATTGACTTCATAAAACGCCCACAATGGTGGTTTACGATAACAATGGCATTTGCCCAGCATCAGCGTATGTTGTAAACCGCGTTGGTTGTTTTACGCCGCACTCAGCAATATTCCAGTTATATGACGGCGGTCTGTAAATAATCGAGTCTGGACCAGACAATCTAGTGATTAATGTCATGAGCATCGATCAACGCAATTGGTATCGATGACATGCATCAACCAAGTCAGCGAGCCTGACCACCCGATCCCGTTAGTCGCCTCTTATGACAAGCATAGTCCCCTTTTACGGCAAGCATGGGTTTCTGAAGACCTATTCTACCCCGGATCTTCTCGGGTCTGTAAACCGCGTGAAATCACCAGTGACCGTGTGTTCTACATATACTTATCATAGATGTAGTTGGTGGACATTTTGTGAAACAACATCTCATAATCTGATGCAGTGACATAGCACACCTGTGATGTTGTTGTTTGATGTTTGTTGTGTAACGCCACACTCGGCAATATTCCAGCTATATGACGGCGGTCTGAACCAGACAGTCCAGTGATTGACATCATGAGCATCGACCCACAAAATTGGGATACGATGACTTGCGTCAACAATGTCAGCGAGCCTGACCACCCGATCCCGTTAGTCGCCTTTTACGACAAGCATAGTCGCCATTCACGTCAAGCATCAGTTGCTGAAGACCTATTCTCAACCTGGATCTTCACGGTCGTGTAGTTATGAAATGACATTACAAAGAATATACATGTTATCCATAAACGTTTCATGTCTTCAAGTAATCACATTGCACTTCTTAGTGGAACGAACATACCTTTTCGTTGAGCGATGCTAGATATATTTAAAACGTCCGAATCTCCGGCTTTAAGATGTCTTCAACAACTGATCAACGTGCTTTAAGGAAACTAAACGAGTGTGATGATAAACGGACATGAACACGATGAAAACAATTCCCGGTCAGCCATGACCACCTTCAGTCGCGTCTTGCCATAGGTCATTGAGGCACGGTGATGAATATTATTAGTACAAGAGTACGTGTCGTACGTTTACGAATCAGCGTTGTATTGCCAAAACGAGAGCTCTGAAACAACTCTTGCCAATTGGATGATACATTCTCGATGTTTAGCGAGTTTATAGGATCAATATTCGATGACTGTCTTTATGAGTCTTGTCAGTGAAGAAGAGATACACATATACAGATATAACCTCACCACATTGTATGGGGCACGCCTTTGTAAGTGAGTAACGACTGCTGTTCGGGCGAAGAGATCGGTGACCTATAAACCATTGTTTGGGTTCAGTCGGCTAAGAAGAAGCCCCAGGTTGGGGACAACGTGCCAGCTCAGTTTGGTCATGTGGTTGTAATAAATGCGACAACACCCTTCAGGCAAGGCAAGTTTCACCTGAACGAACACGGGCGGCCCAGGCGTCTAACGCGCATCAATGCGCCTGAGCACGCCAGAAACCTATGAATGTGGGTTCGAATCCCGGTTCGCCTCGATTATGTTTCTAGGTTTGTCAGCACCATACCCGTGAATACCAGGAGCATGATTATAGTGCTAACTGACCTAGGCTCAATATCCGATGGGTCGAGATCCGAATCCACGAACATCTCTGCATCGAGATTATTTGCAGTGTGTTGAGAGGATCAGCAACCCTGCAGAGTTCTTCGTCTGGATTAAGTGGTCCAGTTGTCTAAGGCGCCGCAGTTCGCTGTGCAGAGTTGCGTCCCCTGTACATGTCAGAAAGCTATGATTGTGGGCTCGAATAGCGGTTCGCCTCGATTTATTTTATTTTACAAAATGAAATAATAAGTTGGAGGCTTATCTTTCGAAGAATACGATTTGGTGTACCCTCCATGTGGCCGTGTACCCAGTCGGGTGTATGAGTGATTGGATGTGTTGGTGTATGAGTGAGTGAATGTGGAAGTGTATGAATGTTTGTTGTTTACCGCCGCACTCAGCAATATTCCAGCTATATAACGGCGGTCTGTAAATAATCGCGTCTGGACCAGTGATTGATATCATGAGCATTGTTCCATGAAATTGGGATACGATAACAAACAGGTACATCAACCAAGTCAGCGGGCCTGACCACCCGATCCCGTCAGTCGCCTCCTACGACAAGCATACTCGCCTTTTGCGGCAAGCATGGGTTACTGAAGACCTGTTCTCCCCGGATCTTCACGGGTCAGCGAATGTGCGAGCGAATGAGTGAGTGAATATGTAAGTTATAAAAGGTCTTCCTCCTTAGCAATAACTCACTCAAACACGGAATGAGGTCAAAAAGAAAGGAAATACAGGTTCCGTCGGGGAAAGGTAGAACCTGTTGCCGTGTCACTGAAATCAAATGAAATACATAACTAAAACTGATTTAATACAAAACATTACACGGCAGAAAGACAATGAACAGGACCTCGAAAATGACGTCGTCAGGATTTTTTGTGCAACGCGGCAGCAGTGTATCCACGGACACACTCCTCCATATTTTGACTACAAGTGTTCTCACCGGAACCAGGTGCGTGTGACGTCACAGCTGACGTCATCAGAGCCCCTCCTCTGACACAACAGCAGGATTGTCATAGACATTCTCTCCCACCGTGTTAGGACTATACGAGTCACTGTGTTCCGACCGGAAGCAGGTACGTGTGACGTCATAAAGTAGAATTATGGCGCCCCCTAGGATGAAAAGACCTCCCGCGACGTAGAAGGTCATGCCATAGTTGCCGGTCAAGTCGTATAACCAACCTTAAACAAATAAGGCGGAGGAATATGAATGATATAACTGATATTGTACGTGAATTAGTAACTGATCAGGGGGGCACACGTGGCCGGGTCGTCTAAGGCGCCGCGATTCGCTGTGCAGAGTTGCGTCCCTTGGGCACGCCAGAAACCTATGATAGTGGGTTCGAACCTCGATTATGTTTCTAGGTTTGTCAGCACAATACCCGTGCTCGTAAACGTCTGAGACCTGCATCACTTCAGACTTTCCTCCCACATTAAGTTGACACGCCGTGATATAACTGGGATACTGTTAAAAGCGGCGTTAAACCTAACTAACTCACTCAATCACTCACTAACCGATCGATGCGGTACACACCCAGACCTAAAGGGCTGTTCACAATATTATTGTCAAGAAATATTGTTCAGAGACAAGAAATGCCCCAGAGGTTCACACAGAATGGTTATTCAAAGTCCGATACGTGTCCACTGTGATGTGGCAAGCAAGTGACGTCAGACTAAATATGACGTCACAATGTCACTACAAAATCACAGACCCGTGAAGATTCCGGGGAAGAAAAGGTCTTCAGCAACCCATACTTGCCGTAAAAGGCGACTATGCTTGTCGTAAAAGGCGACTAACGGGATCGGGTGGTCAGGCTCGCTGACTTGGTTGATACATGTCATCGATCCCAATTGCGTGGATCGATGCTCATGATATCAATCACTGGATTGTTTGGTTCAGACTCGATTATTTACAGACCGCCGTCATATAGCTGGAATATTGCTGAGTTTGTTTGCTGCTTAACGTCACAACCAGCATCGTCACGATATGGCTGAAATATTGCCCATGTGACGTAAAACATAAAGTCACTCACTCATTCACAACCAGCAATACAACTGTCATACAACAGCGACTGTAAACAGAGGACCAGACAACCCAGTGATTAGAATCGTCTGGGTACGGCACCACGCTGTCAACCAAGTCACCAAACATGATGTCCGATCCATAGCAGAAGTTGCCAATGAGAAAAGAGGTGTGACCTCTTCCTGTAAGGTCATGTAAGGGGTAACATGTTGACAAGCTACGTGTCATTTAGTAAGTCCTCAGAATGTCCTCTGAAAGCAAAATGGGACTTTCCATGATAATTGGTATTTTCGTACATGTTCTTAAGTACTAAACAACTGGACAATGTAGAGTGAGTGAGTGAATTTGATTCTACGCCGCTTTTAGCAATATTCCAGCAATATTACGGCGGGGGACACCAGAAATGGGCTTCACACATTGTACCCATGTCGGGAATCGAACCCGGGTCTTCGGCGTGATGAGCGAACGCTTTAACCACTAGGCTACCCGACCGCCCCTGGACAATGTAGACGCCATATAGTAGAGTTCATGGTATATTGAAGGGGACGTGAAGGGGAAATCGAAATCATCCCTCTTAGCATACAATTTGGTTCAGAAGTTACCGTCATTTTAAATTTCTATGCATTGACCCAGAAAGGACACTGAATATGGTTTCTCAGATGTTTCTTTGATTTCTATCTCTGGTGGACAGACGAGGTGAAGATGCTCATTTATCTAAGCTTTGTTCAAGAAATGAAGTCGTCTATTTATCTGAAACTGAGATGGAACATCTTTACAATGCTACCTTTCTTTGATTTAACTGAAGAAGTCATAAAATCAGATTCGTATGCACAGAGAAACAGATCATCACAATTGGTACCCATGGGGATATTGCCAATCAGAAATCCAGTAACTCAAATATTCTCACATCTCCGGCAACTCGCATCATCTCACGTGACAATTGTTTCGCTAACTCTAAAACTTCACATGATAATTACTAATTTTGCCAAATCTATAATCTCTTATGACAATACCTTTCGCTGAAATATGATTATACAAAATCCATATCGTCAAATGACAATGGTTATGCAGGACCAGTTCTATTATATTGCAAATCTTTGCTAACTCAATCTCTTATATGGAGGGGGCACAGGTGGCCCAGTCGTCTAAGGCGCCGCGATTCGCTGTGTAGAGTTGCGTCCCTTGGGCACGCCAGAAACCTATGATTGTGGGTTCGAATCCCGGTTCGCCCCGATTATGTTTCTAGGTTTGTCAGCACCATACCCGTGCTCGTGGGTTTCACCGAAGTGGTAAACGTCAGAGACCTGCATCACTTCGGGCTTTCCTCCCACATTAAGCTGACACGCCGCGATATAACTGGAATAATTTTAAAAGCGGCGTTAAACCCAACTCACACACTCAATCACTCTTATATGGAAATTTCGTTACCAAACATAACTTTTCATCTGACAATTTCTTTAGTTAAATCAATACCTGATGAGACAAATGTTCTTGCTCATCTGAAGATGCAATCATTTCCTTGATTCGTCGTTGGCCAAATAATGACTTGTTAGGAATAACCAAAGTCGGCAGAAACATGGACAGCCCTAATAGGATTATTGAAACCATGTCATTAACACATGACGCAAGGTACCTACCAGCCATAGGCGATCCAAGGAAGACCACGATGCCTTGGAAACAGATGAGGTAGCCAAACCCTTCACTGAGTTTGTTTACTCCTATAGTGTCAGCCACTGCCACAGCTTGGAGGTACATCCACACGCCTAGGAACTTACAGCAACACACTGAGATGTGCTACAGAACCTTGACACATGCAACAGAGACTTGACACATGCAACAGAGACTTGACACACACAACAGAGACTTGACACACACAACAGAGACTTGACACACACAACAGAGACTTGACACATGCAACAGAGACTTGACATCAATAACAGACACTTAATACATACAACTGAGACTTCACACATGTAACGGAGGCTTGACACACACAACAGAGACTGGACAGACACAACAAAGACTTGACACACACAACAGAGACTTGACACATACAACAGAGACTTGACACACATAACAGAGACTTGACACACACAACAGAGACTTGACACACATAACAGAGACTTGACACACACAACAGAGACTTGACACACATTACAGAGACTTGACACACATAACAGAGAGTTGACACATGCAACAGAGATTTGACACATACAACAGAGGCTTGACACACACAACTGAGACTTGACACATACAACAGAGGCTTGACATATACAACAGAGACTTGACACATACAACAGAGACTTGACACATACAACAGAGACTTGACACATACAACAGAGGCTTGACATATACAACAGAGACTTGACACATACAACAGAGACTTGACACACACAACTGAGACTTGACACACACAACAGAGACTTGACACATACAACAGAGACTTGACACACATAACAGAGACTTGACACACACAACAGAGACTTGACACATATAACAGAGACTTGACACACACAACAGAGACTTGACACACATAACATAGACTTGACACACATAACAGAGGCTTGACACACACAACTGAGATTTGACACATACAACAGAGGCTTGACATATACAACGAAGACTTGACACATGCAAAAGAGACTTGACATATACAACAAAGACTTGACACATACAAAAGAGACTTCACACATACAACAGAGTCTTGACACACACAACAGAGACTTGACACATACAAGAGAACCTTGACATATAACAGAGATGTGACACACACAACAGAAACTTGACACATACAACAAAGACTTGACACATGCAACAGAGACTTGACACACACAACAGAGATGTGACACACACAACAGAGATGTGACACACACAACAGAGATGTGACACACACAACAGAGATGTGGCACACACAACAGAGATGTGACACACACAACAGAGACGTGACACATACAACAGAGTCTTGACACATACAACAGAGACTTGACATATACAACAGAAACTTGACACATACAACAAAGACTTGACACATGCAACAGAGACTTTACACACACAACAGAGATGTGACACACACAACAGAGATGTGACACACACAACAGAGATGTGGCACACACAACAGAGACGTGACACATGCAACAGAGACTTTACACACACAACAGAGATGTGACACACACAACAGAGATGTGACACACACAACAGAGATGTGACACATACAACAGAGATGTGACACACACAACAGAGATGTGACACACACAACAGAGATGTGACACATACAACAGAGATGTGACACACACAACAGAGATGTGACACACACAACAGAGATGTGACACATACAACAGAGATGTGACACATACAACAGAGATGTGACACACACAACAGAGATGTGACACACACAACAGAGATGTGACACACACAACAGAGATGTGACACACTCAACAGGAACTTGACACATGCAACTTAGATTTGACACATACAACAGAGATGTGACACAAACAACAGAGATATGACACACACAACAGAGATGTGACACACACAACTGACACATGACATATACAACAGGAACTTGACACATACAACTGAGTCATGACACACACAACAGAGACTTGACACATACAAGAGAACCTTGACACATATAACAGAGATGTGACACACACAACAGAGACTTGACACATACAACTGAGACTTGACACATACAACAGATACTTGACACACACAACAGAATCGTGACATACAGAACGAAGACTTGACACCTGCAAAAGAGACTTGGCACATGCAACAGATATGTGGGGACATGTGTTGTTCTGATTGCACTCAGTGTTGAAGCTTCACCTCAACCCCTAAGGGGCTGGTATTAGTACGTTTGCTCTTAGTATTGAGGCTACATACACCTCAAGGTGTGTGGGACATGTGTTGAGTGAAAATGCACTCAGTGTTGAGGCGCCACTCCAAGGTGCGGGGACGTGTGACGCCCATTCGTCTGGGGCGCCCCAATGTCGTTGTACAGCGTTGGTATGTCAGAATCCGACGATCCTTTGTTCGAATCCCACGTTCACTCTGATGAGTCTTGCTTCCTCAGCATCATACCCGTGTTCGCGGGTTTCGCCAATGTGGTATACACAGAAGACCTATATCACTTCGGTCTGTCCTACATGAAACTGACACGCTGTGATAAAACAGACATATCTCACAGACTGATATCCCTTTCTGTATTGACATGACAGGAGACAAACATTGGTTTCTGCAATTCAATTTTTTTTTTAAATCATACCGAAACATGTCATCTGATTGATCGTTTACATCGTTGTTTGTTTGTGTGTTTGATGTTTAACGCCGCACTCGGCAATATTCCAGCTATGTGACGGCGGTCTGTACAAAATCGAGTCTGGACAAGACAATCCAGTGCGCATCGATCCAGGCAATTCGGATGACATGCATCAACCAAGTCAGCGAGCCTGACCATCCGATGGTACGCCAGGCCATGCATAGCATATTACAGACTCGGTAGACTCGGTTTCGACTTATGCTAACATTTATCAACACACGGAATAGATATTGTCATATATTTAGCATAACTTTTATCACAACCAACAGATAATACATTGTTAAACTTATTCCGTCTCAGCTTATCCTCACGCTCATGGGTAAGTTAGCTTTAACCTTCATTGGACTATAATGTTTTCACAAAAAGCAAATTACCTTTGTCGTTTCAACTAAGTATAGGGGTATTGAGGAGACGGGGTATTGGCGTGTAGGGGTATTGGCGTGTAGGGGTATTAGGATGTAGGGGTATTGGGCAGTAGGGGTATTGAGGAGAAGGGGTATTGGCGTGTAGGGGTATTGGGGTGTAGGGGTATTAGGGCGTTCGCGTGTAGGGGTAAAGGGATGTGGGGTATTGGCGTGTAGGGGTATTGGCGTGTAGGGGTATTGGGGTGTAGGGGTATTGGCGTGTAGGGGTATAGGCGTGTGCGGTATTGGGGTGTAGGGGTATTGGCGTGTAGAGGTATAGGCGTGTGGGGTAATGGCGTGTAGGGGTATTGGGGTGTAGGGGTATTAGGGTGTAGGAGTATAGGGGTGTAGGGGTATAGGCGTGAGGGGTATTGGCGTGTAGGGGTTATGGGGGGAAGCGGTATTGGCGTGTAGGAGAATAGGGGTGTAGGGGTTTTGGCGTGTAAGGGTATTGGCGTGTAGGGGTATTGGCGTGTAGGGTATTGGCGTGTAGGGGTATTGGCGTGTAGGGGTATAGGCGTGTGCGGTATTGGGGTGTAGGGGTATTGGGGTGTAGGGGTATAGGCGTGTGGGGTATTGGCGTATAGGGGTATTGGCGTGTAGGGGTATTGGCGTGTAGGTGTATAGGGGTGTAGGGGTATTGGCGTGTAGGGGTATTGGGGTGTAGGGGTATTGGGGTGTAGGAGTTTAGGGGTGTAGGGGTATAGGCGTGTGGGGTTTTGGCGTGTAGGGGTTATGGGGGGAAGCGGTATTGGCGTGTAGGAGAATAGGGGTGTAGGGGTTTTGGCGTGTAAGGGTATTGGCGTGTAGGGGTATTGGCGTGTAGGGTATTGGCGTGTAGGGGTATTGGCGTGCAGGGGTATAGGCGTGTACGGTATTGGGGTGTAGGGGTATTGGGGTGTAGGGGTATAGGCGTGTGGGGTATTGGCGTGTAGGGGTATTGGCGTGTAGGGGTATTGGCGTGTAGGAGTATAGGGGTGTAGGGGTATTGGCGTGTAGGGGTATTTGGGTGTAGGGGTATTGGGGTGTAGGAGTTTAGGGGTGTAGGGGTATAGGCGTGTGGGGTATTGGCGTGTAGGGGTTATGGGGGGAAGCGATATTGGCGTGTAGGAGAATAGGGGTGTGGGGGTTTTGGCGTGTAAGGGTATTTGCGTGTAGGGGTATTGGCGTGTAGGGTATTGGCGTGTAGGGGTATTGGCGTGTAGGGGTAAAGGCGTGTGCGGTATTGGCGTATTGGGGTATTGGCGTGTAGGGGTATTGGCGTGTAGGAGTATAGGGGTGTAGGGGTATTGGCGTGTATGGGTATTGGCGTGTAGGGGTATTGGGGTGTAGGGGTATTGGGGTGTAGGAGTTTAGGGATGTAGGGGTATAGGCGTGTAGGGGTATTGGGGTGTAGGGGTATTGGGGTGTAGGGGTATAAGCGTGTGTGGTATTGGGGTGTAGGGGTATTGGCGTGTAGGGGTATAGGCGTGTGGGGTATTGGCGTGTAGGGGTATTGGGGTGTAGGGGTATTTGCGTGTAGGAGTATAGGGGTGTAGGGGTATTGGCGTGTAGGGGTATTAGCGTGTAGGGGTATTGGCGTGTAGGGGTATTGGCGTGTAGGGGTTTTGGGGTGTTGGCGTGTAGAGGTATTGGTATGTAGGGGTATTTGGGTGTAGGAAAATAAGGGTGTAGGGGTAGTGGCGTGTAGGGATATAGGCGTGTGGGGTATTGGCGTGTAGGGGTATTGGGGTGTAGGGGTATTAGGGCGTTGGCGTGTAGGGGTAAAGGGGTGTGGGGAATTGGCGTGTAGGGGTATTGGCGTGTAGAGGTATTGGCGTGTAGGGGTATTGAGGTGTAGGGGTATTGGCGTGTAGGGGTATAGGCGTGTGCGGTATGGGGTTGTAGGGGTATTGGCTTGTAGGGGTATAGGCGTGTGGGGTAATGGCGTGTAGGGGTATTGGGGTGTAGGCGTATTGGGGTGTAGGGGTATTGGGGTGGAGGAGTATAGGGGTGTAGGGGTATAGGCGTGTGGGGTATTGGCGTGTAGGGGTTATGGGGGTGGCGGTATTGGCGTGTAGGAGAATAGGGGTTAAGGGGTTTTGGCGTGTAAGGGTATTGGCGTGTAGGGGTATTGGCGTGTAGGGTATTGGCGTGTAGGGGTATTGGCGTGTAGGGGTATTGGCGTGTAGGGGTATTGGGGTGTTGGGGTATTGGCGTGTAGGGGTATTGGGGTGTAGGGGTATAGGCGTGTGGGGTTTTGGCGTATAGGGGTATTGGCGTGTAGGGGTATTGGCGTGTAGGAGTATAGGGGTGTAGGGGTATTGGCGTGTAGGGGTATTGGCGTGAAGGGGTATAGGCGTGTAGGGTATTGGCGTGTAGGGGTATTGGGGTATAGGGGTGTAGGGGTATTGGCGTGTAGGAGTATAGGGGTGTAGGGGTTTTGACGTGTAGGGGTATTGGCGTGAAGGGGTATAGGCGTGTGGGGTATTGGCGTGTAGGGGTATTGGGGTGTAGCTGTATTGGCGTGTAGGGGTATGGGATGTAGGGATGTTGGGGTGTAGGAGTATAAGAGTGTAGGGGTATTGGCGTGTAGGAGTATAGGGGTGTAGGGGTTTTGGCGTGTAGGGGTATTGGGGTGTAGGGGTATTGGCGTGTAGGGAGGGGTAATGGGGTGTAGGGGCATTGGCGTGTAGGGGTATAGGCGTGTAGGGGTATTGGCGTGTAGGTGTATTTGGGTCTAGGGGTTATAGGGGTGTAGGAGTATAGTGGTGTAGGGGTATTGGCGTTTAGGGGTATTGGCGTGTAGGGGTATAGGCGTGTGGGGTATTGGCGTGTAGGGGTATAGGCGTGTAGGGGTATTGGGGTGTAGGGGTATTGGGGTCTAGGGGTTATGGGGTGTAGGAGTATATGGGTGTAGGGGTATTGGCGTGTAGGGGTATAGGCGTGTTGGGTATTGGCGTGTAGAAATAAAGGTGTGTAGGGGTATTGGCGTGTAGGGGTATTGGTGTGAAGGGGTATTGGCGTGTAGGGGTATTGGCGTGTAGGTGTATTGGCGTGTAGGGGTATTGGGGTGTAGGGGTATTGGCGTGTGGGGTTTTGGGGTGTAGTGGAATTGGCGTGTAGGGGTATTGGCGTCGTATATACCCGAGCCGTGGCAGCTTGACTGAGTTTCATAATCCTGAGTCAATGGTCAGGTTCGTGGATAGCAAGTGACGAACAATATCTGAAGAACTGTATTTGGGTTTCGCAAGTTGCAAGATAAAATTTTGAATAATTACAAAACGTATTATTGAAATATGACCAGTATAATTATAGATTCATTGTAGAGATTTAAGAACATGACTATATGTTAACACCTCATCGATATATAGGGACATGGATACACTGAGATTTACACCATTGGTTACATTGGTATGACTATAGAGATTAATGAGGTTCAGAATTAAGACTTTGAGTTATTGATACATTTCAACAGATTACACGGATATAACACAAAAAACTATCACGATTCAGTACACTTACCTAAGAATGTCCCAAAAAACACAGAGTAAGCCATCAACGTTTGAAACGACAACAACAACGACACACGGGATGTCGGATATCCGAGCAAACAGCAGGCGCCCCACCATGCTGGATATACCAATGGTGGATATGAGCCAAGTCGACTTCTTCTCCGGGATATTCAGGCCGTTCGCCAGGTCAGGGAGGTGATTGAAAGGGATGAAGTAAGCCAGAGCCCCGACAACGGAACCAACAACAAAAATGGTGTATCTGATGTTGGTGAATGTTGACAGGATGGACTTCACTTTGATGCAGAAAGCGGCAGCAGAGCAAGATTTTCTTGTTTCTTGCTTGTCTCCATCAGAAAGAAAAGCAAATACAAGATAAAAGCGATTATTCTAATAAACCTAATTACAATTAGATCGTTTTCTCCGATTCGATACCTCTTTGGGTCAGTATCTAACAAACCCTCAATACGTCTGGGGAAGGAGCCAAAACAATTTATCTTTACAGGATGTGTTTTTTTCACGACACGGGTCGTATCTAGTGAAGAATTGTTTTAAGGTATTGGCTTCTCCTTGAACTATTTTCTGAAAAGAATATAGACTGCCGGGGACAAGAAAATATACACCTCTGTTTGTTTGATGGTGGCTGAACATGAAACAAACCAAAGAAATGGTCATTTGATAGTGATGTACATTATTCGGATGTCACAGGCGATATTACTCGCATCATATCAATAAGTATCTCACAACATGCGACTGTTTTCACCCAAGTAATCCATTTGTCAAGTGTACATTTTCTTTTTCCCGGACCCGCCGTGATATTGCTGAAATATTGCTAAAAGCGGCGTAAAACAATACTCACTGACTCACTCACTCACTCACTCGCTTTCCCGGCAGTATATAATCTACGAACCATGTTCTACATTTCTGTGTTCTTTATTATGTATTCAGAGATGAAATATTATATTTATGTGGAAAATTAAAATCGACAGTTCCCTCTAAAGACCAGTAAGGAATTACAGGACGAATATTTGGCTTCTCAAACTTGGTTATCTCATATCGACGCCTCTTATGAACATATCCATTTTGTCAGGTCATTCCATATATATTCGAAGTATCCTTGAATTATTCTACGTTCACTGTCCAATGTCCTATTGGTTTCAATCTTACCTGATGTTCTGGATTCGGTTTTCATATCTCTGAGTTCCTGTCTGGTGTAAAACGGCCTGAAAAGGGCCCCAAACACTGCACAGTTGAGGACAAGCCCACCTGTAATCAAAAACGCCCCTCGCCAGGTGTACACTGACATCATGAGCTGTAGGAGAGGAGGGAGAACCAGGGTTCCCACACCTCCTCCGAGAGACCCAAGGGCGTTGGCCAAAGACCGACGTTTATCAAAGTACTGGTTCACGATGACGGTGGCGGACACAAACAGTAGGCTGAAGCCTAAACCTGGAGAGAGATCATGAATACTGAATTATAAAAGTAATTAAGAAGAACCATGATTAAAACCAATCAATTAAAACCATCGTTAACTTTATAGTTCAAGGACACGTGCACGTGATAATGATATGTTTCGGCCCACGATAGAACAGCAGCTATATTAAATAACTCCTATTGTGGCTGTGTGTCTTCATATCGTGGATGAGTTTTGTTTTACGCCGCTTAGAATTAGTATTTCAGTTACATCACGACGTGTTAGCTTAGTATGGGAGGAAAGCCAGAAGGACGCCGTACGCTTTGGACAAAACCCAAAAGCACGGGTATACCTCTGACAATGCAAGATTTATAATCGGGGTGACAATACGATCACGTTTTCTTTCAAATACTGATGGACCCCTACCCTTGCTTCATGATGGAGTAGTGGGAGTGTATCGTAGACGACACTGAGTGTATCGTAGACGACACTGAGTGTATCGTAGACGCCATTCACTCACGGGAATGTCCGAACATTCCGATTCAATACAAATAGAAGGTTGACATTATTTTTACCTATTTTTCGACAATTGTTAATGTCCATGTCTGTATTTTACAACACAGCGAAATATATTTCCCGAAGAGTTTGTACTGATTGTTTCAAACAATATACGTGGTACCCTGCCGAGATGGTAAGACACTCCATGTTCCTGAATGTCAACAATATACGTGGTACCCTGCCGAGATGGTAAGACACTCCATGTTCCTGAATGTCAACAATATACGTGGTACCCTGCCGAGATGGTAAGACACTCCATGTACCTGAATGTCAACAATCTGGAGCTTCCTGACGTCACTACAGGTGGCGGGCCGCATTCTTACCTTGGAGGACGCCATAGCTGAGATACAGGAAGAGCAGACTGTTAGCCAGGAAGCTGATACTGCAGCCTACACACGCCAACACAGCCCCCAGTACGGCTGTCACTCGAGTTCCCAACAGGCCTAGGACGATCACATCTAGGGGCCCTATAATCAAACAACACGTATCAGTTACATGAATAAAATAATGACATCATTAGTTTGGTCAAAATATTTCTTCCAAAGTTTAGGGACGTTCGTCTGTCAAACGTTAAACGTGAAAGCAATGGTCCTTTTTTCAAAAAGTCCTCCTTAGAATGTGGCTAATTCTGCTACAATGCCCATGTTGTTATGCTCGTATGTTCAAAACATAAATTTCTGCGATTACATGAAATGAAGATTCAAAATTTGTCTCACCAAAAGGTTGGTGGTTCGATTACCCTTGCTGCGTCACATCACAATATATTAAACCATGGTACTTACTGTTACCCTGCCTGGCGCTCAGCATTATGGGATAAATCTCGATATGAGTATGACGTGTCTGAGAGGGGCATTCATGCTTAACTACAACATGGTATGTCAGTACAACCGGCGGTACAAGCAAACACGCATGCGCGTCGCTATAAACGTGCAATATTCTTGACCGTGACGTTGAACCCATTTTACCCCACCTCGTATCATGATCCGATTTTTCAAAAACAAAGACGCCATTTAGCCAGGTAAGGAAAACAGATCGGATAACGATCCATATAGTTCCTGTGCTTTCTAGTATTGTCCATAGATTACTAATGATATCCATCAACCGCTTATATTGGAAATATCATGAGAACAAACTATTGGAACGATCAGTCTTGCCATGTTCTTTCCAAGTTTAGAAATGATACTTTTTCTTCTAGTTAATGTTTTGACTTCTTTCAGACTACTATCGACACTAGGCTTTTCCCGAACTGAGAAAAAAAAATCGATATATTATAAATGTCCTCGAAGATTTAACGAGAATTAATTGTGTATAGCACCCACGTAGGATGAGTTGGTAAGGCGGCAGTTAACCTTCTAGCGCTTCACAGGCAGGTGCGTGGGATACTTCCGAGGGAACTGAGAATGATTAACGAATGCACACTGATCCATTGACCGGGGTGATAATGTTTGCGCTTTGGGCATGCACCTTGTGTAAGGAGTAAAGCTCAATATAAACACCAACATCATCATCATCATCATCATCATCATCATCATCATTATCATCATTATCATAGCTTACCAAGCAACAACAGCAGTCCGCTGAGAAGAGATCCAATCCAGGCTGTCTCACCACGAGAACTTTTAAACTGATCCAGGAGCTCCACGTATATGACGCCGAATGACTGCATGAGTCCAAACACAATGAAGTGGATGTAGAACGAGCCCAGCACGCACACCCAGGCCCAGCCAGTGTCCTTCTGACGAGCCATAGCTGATGAGACAGGCAGCAGTGAGCTGTAAGATGAGGATGTATGAGTGAGTGAGGTGGTCTAAAGCGCCGCAGTTCGCTGTCGCACATCCCCCAGGCGTGCCCTGAGTATACGATCGGGGATTCCAATCCCAGAAAGGTGTTTTTAGCATTCTCCTCCGTGGTCAATTACAGTGGGAATATCCAGTGATAATTGTGTGAATCATAGGTCCTCCAAAATAGTCTTACTTATTCGAATCATCATATTCCCGTGTCTCAAATAATTGAAATGTGTTTATATGCGTTTTGTCATCCAGCACGGAAGTTACTTCACAACTGAACATGACGTCATGCTTTCCAATTGTTAAATATTAACGAAACAGAATCCATCACCGAGAATACTGTATGTGAAATATTTACAACAAATAACCTGCTTGCACAATGACTACAATGTTGTGCGCTATTTATGTCTCAGTATTACTGATTCAGCCTTAGATAATGTCTATATTTTTTGTGCTCCCATTATAATCTGCATGTCCCCAATCGACAATCACACAAAAGGCGTGCACACAGATACAACGGGGCATGCACATCTACCCTGCCAGCGAAGAGGATACAGGACATTAGAATTTGACGCTTTGTTGGTTGTGCATTCCTCTGTCTCTGCATGGCATGGGCCAATCGTCTACATGTAAAGAAGCGTATCCCCGGGAAGGGTGTCACTTCGGCCTGACAATACAATACGCACATGTTTAGTGAAGCTGCGCCAGGTTGTCGCTTTGTCAAATGTTTAGATTCAAGAATGTTTATGCAATTTACAATGTAACAGGGGGCGGTCGGGTAGCCTAGTGGTTAAAGCGTTCGCTCGTCACGCCGAAGACCCGGGTTCGATTCCCGACATGGGTACAATGTGTGAAGCCCATTTCTGGTGTCCCCCGCCGTGATATTGCTGGAATATTGCTTAAAGCGGCGTAAAACCTCACTCACTCACTCACTACAATGTGACAGGCAATGTTCCTTTGATTTGTAATGAACTGAAACATTAAGATGCGTAGGGTCAAAGTGGGAACAGTCATTATGAGATGGACAATTGTTGTCGCATATATGCAAGTAACTTGTGAGTGAGTGAGTTAACATTTTAAGTCACATCGGTAATATTTCAGCCATATCATATTAACATATTAAATACATTGGGACAGTACAATAACTAGACTCATCAAAGAAATATATTTAAAACTAGTATGGAATCATAGCATGGAGGGGGCACGGGTGGCCCAGTCGTCTAAGGCGCCGCGATTCGCTGTGCAGAGTTGCGTCCCTTGGGCTCGCCAGAAACCTATGATTGTGGGTCGAGTCCCGGTTCGCCCTGATTATGTTTCTAGGTTTGTCAGCACCATACCCGTGCTCGTGGGTTTCATTGAAGTGGTAAACGTCTGAGACCCGCATCACTTCGGGCTTTCCTCCCACATTAAGCTGACACGCCGTGACATAACTGGAACACTGTTTGAAGTGGCGTTAAACCCAACTCACTCACTCATAGCATGGATAGCACTAAACAACGCCGGCAACTGAAGGTAGATCACCATACTAAGGACCATGGGGACTTACAATACTTTAGTTACCTGCATGGAATTGTGCTAATGCATGGATCTTTGTACAGCGGTGTGCGGTGATTACCTTGCAAGGTACAGGTTTCTTTACTAATTTTACTATGCCTTTAACTTATGGAAAGACTACATTTTCCAAACCACAAGAAAACTCCATTCACTGCACCCAATATCTTGGAGCAGAAGATCTAATCACTTCCCTTTCTAAACGTGGAGTCTACGTGGATGTACATGTAGAATGAACACGGGGGGGGGGGGGGGGGGTCGGTGATATCACCTTACAATGAGTGCTTATTGGCTGTCAGGATAATTATAATATGACAACTACATGCTGCTTATGATACTAACTAATGGAGGACACACCAGGGACTGGCCATCCAAGCGGAATGACATACTTTATTTTTTAACTGATACTATTAACGAGTAACAGATTCAGATTCAGATTCTTTATTACAGTATAAAGGCCAAAGGCCCATAATACATGCTTCATTTTATTAACATGTACTGCGCTTTCGCTAATATTAAGGCTGATGTACCATCATATGCAAGAAAGTGTGGTACATGTTTCAAATGTTGCCAACAGTTGTTTAACATTGAGACATTATGTTTCATTGAACTATAAATATCACTCATCATTTAAGAGTGCAGTTCCGTGTTTATGAACTTTATGTAAATACCGACAAGTATCATGAATAACATAATTATCTGATGACCTAATACTTTTGCAAGAAAGTGTGGTACATGTTGTTTACCATTATAAATAGTGTGTTTGAATGAACTATAAATATCACACATCCTTTAAAAGCAGAGTTCTGTGTTTATAAAATTTATGTACATACTGACAAGTATCATAAATAACATTATAATTATCTGATGACATAATACTTATAAACGCCTGTAATGAGGCACCATACTGTTTACACACAAGTCATACATGATGTTCATCTTCAATAGATGAAATACCTTCCTTGAGACAAAAAGGGCACAATCGCATTAAGTATTCAATATTATTATAACGTCCCGTTTCTATTGCAAGTCCATAATTACCACATCTAAATCTTGACATGGCTGTCCTGATAGATAAAGATAGATTATATACATACAATTCAACATTGAGTAATGACTTAAACTGCCTATAATAATATGTCTTTGAAGAACTTTCTGCAACCCATTTTTGATGGAGATCGTCACATCGTCAGCAAACATCAAAACAAACATCTCTTTAAAGGAAGGTGAAACAGACACCCCTGCCACCAGTTTCTTGCATGAAGTACATTAACTTGTTTATAAAAATAATTAAAAAAACCTGCGGGCTTAAGGTACATCCCTGCCTCGTACCAATGTTACACCTAAAATAATTTCATAAACCACCAGAGAGTCTTACACAAGCACTTAAATTTGAATACATTGAAACTATTATCTTAAAAAATTTGCCACTAACTCCTACTTCATTTAAGCTTTTTAACAAAACGTCATGTTTAATCAAATCAAAAGCCTTTGAAAAGTCTATAGATAAACAATAAAATCTTCCATTTTTCCTATGGGCATATTTTTGGGCAATAGGTTGCAAACAGAAAATACTTTCAATAGTGGAGCGATTAGCTCTGTAGCCAAACTGTGCTTCATTAATGACATTATGTCCGTCACACCAAAGCTGCAGTCTTGAGTTAAGAGTAGAGCAAAACACATTACAAATAATATCTATCAAAGAGATTCCACGATAATTATCAATACAGTGTTTATCTCCTGACTTAAACAAAGGACATATTATACTTTTTCCCCATTCTTTAGGGAATTCACCACTATCAAATATGTTGTTAAACAATAAGACCAACACAGGTAGAATATAATCTGATGATGCTTTCAGAAATTCAGCAGCAAGGCCATCAGGACCAGGGGATTTATTTAATCCCAACTTATCAATATGAAACAAAACTTCCATCATAGTAATAGGGCCATTTAAGTTAAATATAGATGCCTCTTCTACCTCCGTATTACATATGTCATAATCAAAACCCTCAGTGGATATGTTATCTACACACAGCCTGTTTTAGCCTTCTCCAAAATAATTTAGCATTGTTTCTACAGTCAATTAAATTTTGTCTCATATCATTCTGGTAAACATATCTCTTAAATCTAAATTTAGATTTAAACAAGTTGCGCACCTTCTAAATTCACTAATGTCATAACTCTGGTCTCTATGGGCCCGAAGAGCATGATACTTTCTATTTTTTAAACCTCCAAAATCGCTATCCCACCATGGAGGTTGATTACGTAGTCTTATAGGGCATACTTTATATAACGATTGTAACAGCAGAAGATTGACGCGCGAAAGACACACAGATTTTTCTATCGTACATTTGAGGGTAAACATGAACGAAGCAGTGCAGGATGCCTTACAAGGATTTGACTTCAGAACACACAGTGAAGTTTATTAATGATGATATGTTCATTCATTCGTGCAATAGATATGACAATCATGAGCGCTGACTCTATATGTGTTCGCAATAGAACATTTGGAAGAAATAAAATTTACTTACAAGACTAGTACACAACAAAGTCATCAAGTGAATATTAAATAAATTGATTCACGATATGACAACATCAAATCATATATTTGTTTGACGAAACTGGTTTAAAGCAATCCAAATTGTACAATCATTATCATAAAATAGAGCATGTTTATATATGTGTGTCGCTACCCCTCTCACGTCAAATACATAAATGTATAAAAAGTTTTAATATAATTCAAAATCACAATTATTTTTACATTATAACTAAAACTATGGAGCTTAGCATGTCGAGCCAACAAACTATTGTATATATTTTCACCCTTAGAATTTATGTTTACTGTGTTTGCGATGGGGTCCAGACAATTCCCCAAATGGACAACTCCAAATACTACTGCGTAAAATATTAATGCCAATTTGGAGAAAATTACCAATTGGATTAAAGCAAGTAAAATTTAATCCAAAGAAAACATAAACTATTCAATTTCAAGTTAAAGTCGTTAGAGGTTATGTACAAGCATATATTGCCCATGTGTTTGCTCCCATATCTGGGATAATTGTACCAAAGAACAAGAATCAATGTTTAGTAATCTTTCTCACTTTCTTATTAAAGGCATAATGATGGATAAACTATTGTGTTGCAGTGAATGTTAATTTATAGTGACTAAGGCTAGTCCCTTACTTCCAGATATTAATTGACATGTCTCACCAACAACTCACAAGGGATCAATCCTTGTTTAAACGCGAAGAGATACAGTTAAACGTGTTAAATATTTTATTAAGGTGTCTCATGACATACATACATAAGGTATATAAGGTATACAGTATACTGCAGGTTAACTATACTGATTAACTTATAGTAATTGAGGGTTAAATGGCATTGTTTACTTAGTAGCTTACGTGGTTGAGTGCTTAAATAGTGACACATAAATAAACTATTCTTCTTCTTTTTGTTCATTTTCAAGATGCTGTGTATAACTTCCTAAACTGCTAAGATATGTAGTTTCTGAATTCTGTTGGAGCGATAATTTAATGTCTAATTTAGAAAACATTATATAAATTATCTTCCCTCACGCAGAAAAACAAGCATGGAATTCTCCGTTCGTTTTCGATAATTGGGTTTGCATAAAAGAGGCGAATAATAAAATACGAAACGAGCCTATGTGTAATACCATGTTTTACGAACCTTGCGAAACCAAACAGTTGATACCAAACTGTTCACTCGTTTCCTGGAAATGGTACGGCACGGGGGATCATTTAGCGATACTGTTGTTCTCTCATCTATTTTAATCATACACAATATATATCTTGAAGCTGCCAATGAAAGCAGGAACCCAATTACTGTACAAGAGTTCATTTTGTATGAGTATAAAAATGAAGTTATCATTTTTTAACTTCAAATACTGCGATGTGCCCACTAATACCGTCATTATGTTGACGGCCTGATTGTTAACAACCATGAGTTGCGATATGTTATATGATTGCTTTGGTACTTTTATTGGTACTGGATTCTTCTTTGCGCAATAACCAGAGTATTATTTGTTTTAAATGTAAGCACGTTTTGTGCCTTGTGGAATTGTAGATGAAGAAACACAATAAATACAATTCGCATGTATATAAGTAAAGCAAAATATCAATTAAATCTGAATACGTCAATGTGTAAATTTCTTGTTCTAAAAAGTACAGGTATTAGTATTCATATTCCACATGTTCATAATTTGGATTTGTAACATCTTTTGTTATTTTCTTGCATCGGTTGTACAATACATTTACAGTCGTAGTTTGTTGACTGAGCCCCCAGAAATATTTTAACATTGCATTTCTAGCAATTTCGTGCCGTTTGGACAATATTCATACCAACAAATGTAATAAGTAAGTGGCAAAAGTTAAGTCAAATAAACAAAGATGGCGGATGCAGTAAAATTTCCGATTAAATCAGTACTTTAAAAAAAATTGGGAATAGCTTCAGCGCACCCGCCAGGTCTGCGAGCAATACTGCTACAAACGTGCAATGTCTGACCCTTTCCCATGTTAAAGCATATTGAGAATTAAGAAAAGCTTACCTTGTACTTACTTACCTTTTGTAAAACATAAGACATTAATACAACATTTATCCCCGTGTTATGAGTTTTCGGACGCTGAATAAACATTCATAGTTTTTTCACATGAACAACTGTAAAACATCTCATTCATTTATAAAAGACAACGTTATCATAATAACAAGCCATGATCGGAGTATTTACAATTTCTGTGTGATGCCACACCCCTCGTTATAGTGCAAGTATTCTTGATAGAAAACGTATGATGTCCGGAAACTTAAGATCAGACAATAATAATATTGTGTTATGAATAATAATAAAGGTATGTTTGGTGCTGAAAGCTCTTATCAAAAACAGAACAATCCGCGACGATTTTTCGGAGTACTTTTAAATCTTTGATTATATTTTTACGTGTAGGATGATTTTTCCGAGGACTACTTTTTTTAAAAACGCGATTTTCAGCGGAGATTTTACATTATAACAATGTATACCGTACAATTAAACCGTACAAACCAAATTCAACACTTTTAAGTAATAATGATATAGCTTTCATCCTCTGTGCAATCCACTCAGTTGGTTAATCTGCTATGCGCACGAAGGCATGTTACAAATCACTTCGCGGCATCCCGTACAAACCAATCTGAGCTCAGCACAAATCGATTTCAACGCTTTCAAGTGATTATAATAAAGAATGCAATGCAATCACCCCCGACTGAAATGAGAACCTACAGAACATTTAAAACAGCTATTTATACACAGCCTTATGTCCTCCTTTCCCGTTATAAAAGGTTGGTTTTATCATCTTTAAGATGCGTTTCAATGAAGCTCGAGATTGAATTGGGACGTTATTCTAATCCTCCTGTGCCAGTTAACCATCGTTTTTGTAAATATTGCCCTGGATGTGTAGAAGATGAAACTCACTTTCTCCTCCACTGCTCACTTTATGATGATATTCGTGTTACCCACCTTTCACAAGTATTTAACCCCACAAATGGCAACTTAAGTGATAATATTGAGCTTGTATATATTCTAAATGATTATAATATTATTTCAACACTAGGTAGTATGTGCTACACAATGGCTGTTCGAAGAAAATCTCACTACCAATAACAGCATATATATTTATACTGCTTTTTATATGTTTTAACTCAATTTGTTTTACTATGCATTATGTATGGTCTCTTATAACCCACATCGTGGGTGGCAGAGATACTTTATAGTGTATATGCCTACAACCTGTATCTCCGATGAGACAAAAATAAACAATTTGTCACTTGTCACTTGTCACTGTCACTGTTAATCTGCCCTGTGCACTTGACCATAAAGTCTACACACATACTTGTTCTGTTTTTTGCAGTGTATCTAATATACTACACACAGGAATAAGAGACATGTAATATGGCATGATGTGTGTGGGTTTTTTTTATTTGTTCGAAATATATTTTATTGTCCAAGGAGACAAAGGGATGGGGCACAAGTGCCATACTTTTTGCCACTTGCACGCGCTATATACAATATATATATACACATACACACACGCACGCACGCACGCGCACACACACACATACGGTGCTTCACTCATCACAGAAATAATTTGTCTCTTTTCCTCATTTGCTTGTAAATATTGTGTTGGAATAAGGATGAATATTTTCCACTGTCTGGGAAATGTCGCCTGAAGATACTTGGATTCTGAAATAGCATATATTGAGTACATGAGGGGACTGCTACGTCATACATTTCAAGAACTAATATCCTGAGAATTAAATCTAACAAATATCGCTTATCTCATTCACAAACAATCTTTGCACACTGTAGCCATTGAAGCTGGGGTCCCAGGCAGTGTATTGTGTAGTAATTCAAGATTGTGAGTTCAGATTGTTTCATAACCTGAGCCTTATCACCATCTCATTAGTAATCTAATATGATCTCTGGTTTTAAGTAGTAGTTAGCACCTCCTCTCCCAAAAATCACATACAAACGTCGATCAAATGGATAGCGCGTATTTATGGCTTAAGTCACTTGGACATTGTTTAGCTTCATAAACTGTTCATAAGAAACATGTCAGACAGCTTTGACATCATTGATGACTTAGTCTTATGAGATGATGTAAACATTAGGGGAAATGAGCTCAAGTAAATACAGAAACAGAGGGTCTAAAATTGCCACAGTTGTAGGCCTATTTGGGATTTAAATTGTGATTAAGGAAGTAGAGGGTAGAGTGAGAACAAGATAACAAATCTTAACAAAACCTACCTGCCAAACAAGTGCTAGTTCGTTAGTTTCCGTAATCCGTCACAATCTGTGATGATCGCAGAGTGTGTTCGATGCAATGCAATTCGACAAAGAAGATGTACAGACGCCTCGACAGCATTTTTCACACATGAATGAGTTCAACCTTGGCAGTCAACTAGTAGAGGTAAACATGGCTATAATTGCTTATGTGTGTCAGGTTGCCCCAACCTCGCCGTCGTATCTGTACACAAAACAAGTGCATAGTCTAAACTAGGCTACATATGCATTTATTCAGCCGTTTCAATAATGCAGTGCGCTGTCACAGCATGCTGCGTAGGTCTGTACAGCACAATGTATTTTATTAGTAATTGGTCGATCCTTCATAAATCCTATTTTTGCCATTCATTTCACATATGCCTCGGTAGAATTGAGGTAGGGGAGGACTTCTGGTCAGTTAGCAAGGTATTCAGATATCCAGAAACTCGTTTATCTGGACAACATTTTAGAAAAAGCATTTGTCCGGATAAGCGAGGTTCGACTGTATAGCGCGTGATACATGACAAAACAAATGTGTTAGGACCTGATTCGCACTTGCTGAAGGGATACCAATGGACCCTGATCATAATACATTGGTTGCTTATTATTATTATTAAACATATTGTATTGGCCAAAAAGACAAATGGTTTGGGCACAAGTGCAGCACTTATTACCGCCTTCTCCCTATATACAGTTATACATAATATTGCATAATGAAAATTAACAATTTACAGTTGAAGCATCACATTGTGGAAACATAGTGCGCAATAATAAATTTATATACAGTGCTCATATGAAGGATATGTACAATGTGCTGGAAAGTGAAGACAGTGTGCATCTCATACATATGCTAATATTATACATGTACATGTAAGTTTTGTATATAGATTTAACAATATTAATGATTAACAGTTTGGAAACAATTATATGCTAGTTACTGAATCTGTTAGTCGTTTCTATAAATTTGTGTACAGCCAAGAATATTTTTGTATTCAGGAAAACATCTAAGTTTGGATCACCAAAAAGAATACTATGTAGAGTTTTTTGTCCTCCAAGATTATCGATAGCTGTCAGTAATGTCTCCCTTATATCATCATATAAGGTACTTTCGAAGAAAAAATTGAATGAATTTTCACAAGGAGCTCCGCATTTACAGGAAATAGTATCAGATAAATTAACACGATACAGGTTGGAATTTAGTGTGCTACAATTGTGTCTCAATCTAGTGTGCAATATGTTTGTAGATCTCTCACCGCAATTATAGTGCATAGGTGGTGATGTAGGCTGCTCAGATGCGACAGCTTTAAAATACGATATTGACGGACTATCCCTGATTCCTGATGATAGATTATTCCATTGGCCTAATGTATCTATAATATAAGACCTTTTAAACGTAGATGTCCGTGCAAATGGAACTACAACATCATGGCGGTTTCTGAGATTATAATTGACCTTCTGTGACACAGCTGGTGGTATAAGATCAGTTACATATGAAGGACATTGATTATTTATCATTTTATACATAGTTACAAGTTTGTTGACGTTTCTTCTATACGCTTATATATATGTATCCACGTCACACACACACCTAGAACAAGTACACTTATTTGAATATTACTAATATTACATGAATGTTACTGAGCAGTCAGTTAGAGTTTATATCTTTGCGCTTAATCAGCAACATTAAGCCTTTCACGTATATTACAACTTTGTAAGTTAACTTTCCTTTCCAGAAATACCATAGCATGGTGACAGAGATAAACTTCTACCCCAAGAGATGTGTCATTCACTAAAATCTGCTTTGTTAATTTGATTTCAAGTGATAGTCTTCACCTGGAAGGAATGTATATTTGTATTATTTCAATTTTTCTTTTAAAACATATCACTCTGAATTTTGGGTTTTGAAATAGCATGTCGCAGAAATAACTCCTGTTGGACCCTTAAACTTGCAAGAATACTCTAATCATTGGCCGAAACATGCCCCATTTGTGCTTCTTGCTTTGTCAGACCAAACCCACACTGCTGAATTTCTCAAAAGCTTTAAAAGGGTTAAAGCTATTTTTGGAAGCAAAAATGGGTTGATTGGTGACTACCACAGAAGTAGCAAATGGAGTTATGTCCGATGAAATTCTCTGTTTTGACTTGTGCCAAACGTTTCCGTGTTTTTCGGGTTTAACAACTAACTTGCCTTTGCATGTGTTTGTTCCACCGGTGGTGCAGGATACGCTCACCTCTATGCAAACACCTGTTATCCTCACTGTTTGATAGTAGTTTATACACGTAAGTAAGTATAAGTTGTATGTCATCTTAATATATCACTTGTGTAATCCCTCTTTTTGGCCATGGGGTGTACTACAAACATAAATCAAAGTTTCTTTTGAGCTAGCATGAATATAATAAAATACTTAGCAAGTCTATGGTTATCCTTCCCTCTATTCTACCAAAGGCTCTAATTGTGGCCAATTGTTACATATTCTTCACGAATACTGTAAATCATGAAACGTGTAACCAAATTAATGCCAGTTTAGACCGCTGGCTAGACTAACATCTAGTTTCTGAAATGAACATATTTTACAAAAATAAAAACAATTGTTTGATTATGAGCCTTGATGGCAAAGGTATCAACATATGTGAGAACAAACAAACGTGAACCCAATATTTCAAATGTTGGAAAAAAGGAGAAAAACAGCACAGTCACGGTCTAGTGACCGTACCGTTTCCTCCTCGCTTAATTGTCTGGCTTCCGTCACCATCCGGCAAAGTCCGGTGGTCGTCGTTGTCCAGTGCCTTTACATTCATTGTTAGAGAATTGATGACCCGTAAATTTGGTGTCCTCTCATCTGTCAGACATCCCACTTGTTAGACACTTTTAGTAATGGTTGATTCATTACTACTGGGGTAGAATATGCTTAGTTTCTTTTGTAACGCAAAGGTAGTAAAGATGTCATCTGCTTCTGTGTAACAAGTAATCGTTTTGTCGGTTTGCAAATACGGAAGATGTACAGCTATATGCATTTACCAAGGGTACAAATCTACATTTGTACATAACATTGATGCATGAACATTTCTGTTGGAATTAAACTAACTGAACAGAATAAGCTGTGGATAAAATGATGTTCATGAAATCACCTTCACATAATTACTTAACCTTTGTTGTGTGTTCATGTAGTCTATGACACAGTATCATAAACGATCATATAGTTCATATAATTTAAGTATCTTAACAGACAACTTGCAATTGTGAAATAAGGTACGGCGATACTAATGGCAAATCTTCCCCGATCCGTCTTGTCCATGTGGAGACCCATTTGAAGATACTAAACTTTTTATGCTCGAATGTATATTATTTCCAATTTTTAGAACTGATGCTTACTTTAGTCATGATTTTACAATTTGTAACATTCTTTAATGTATAAATGACACATTTAGGATTGCCTATGTTAGTTATCTTATATTTATAAACACCAGGGGATTTGTATTTAAATAAGTCTTCATTACATTTAAATTATTTTTGATACTAATATCTAAATTATTTTGATACTAATATAGCAACAAAAGCATTCTGGTTTTGATATGAAAAGAATAATACCTTATATTACCATACGATAATACAATAACACGTTGTCATAGATCCATATCTGACTCCAAGACACGTATTATTGATATATCATGTTCTTGTATTACAGGCTTCGAATTTCCCCCACGACACTGCTTTGAGGCCATACAAACTAAGAACTGCAATTTTGAATATACCGGTCATGGTTTGTTTCATCCGAGGCTGTAATCTATCCCAGTAAGCAGATGGACCTTGTGATAACATTGTCTCAATTTAAGTAATGATAAATAAGACAATTTCATTATTGGACAGAGACAAGAGAACTATTTTTAAAATATTTACGTAATGGGGGCTCCTCAATTTTGAAAGGATAAAGGATGAAACATTTCATTTTGTTCTGAGGTAGTTTATAAATTAATTGTAACTGTGAATTGTACGGTAGGCTTGACCGCCTTTCTACGGATAAAATACATGTCTATCTGATACGAATATGCATCACTATAAAAGGAATTATATCAAACTTTAGCAAACTAACACTTCTCTGCAATGTGATTGTAGTCGTCTATGGGAATTTCGGGTGAACGACCTGTGCTCACTTAATATATGGATATAGTTAAACTTGCAATCAGTATATGCCAATGGTGCTGTGCTATGTTCAAATTTTGGTGTATATGTGCGCGCGTGTATGTGTGTTTGTTTGTGTGTGTGAGTTTACAAGAACCTTGTAAGTTTTAAAAAGGAACACGCGATTGAATAACTCTAAAAAAACACTGGGATAAAATAATGATCTGTTGAGTTCATGCTGTGATACAAATCCACTGTAACAACTTACATAAACACCGATAGCACAGATGCTGACATGGATTACTCTTCCTATATTTGGCTAAAATATTGTTTTTGTCCTTATGACAATATCTGTGATGTATATTAATTAACTTGGAAACAAAATCCAGTAAAATACCTCTTGTTCCAAATTATTTTACCCTTCACAACGCCTGACTGATTATTTATATTTCTGTGTCCTACATTCATAACTACAACATAGACTTAAAATCTAAACAATGTCTGTGGTATTTTTTCAAATGCTTCATTTCAACTTTATGCACACATATAACTTGACGATTTTTCATAAGTTGACATGTATCATGGTGACATGCAGTTCATACCGAAATAATCTTCCAGATATGATTTTGTTTCTTAAATGCGTGTTACACGAACATGTAGTGGTAGAAACATCTGCACACAAGTTGCACGTCAAGGTCTTTACAGGGACAGCGGGTGTTATTCTTTAACCAAGGACTGTCTCCTTGTGTATGGTCTTCATTGTTAACACATGAGATCAATCTATTGTGGCCCGATTACCCGAAGCTTGTAAATTATAGTGACGTAGTCGTCCTACTTCATAGGACAAACATATTTAAACAGAATGTTAACAGCAAAATGAGATAAAATGACGCTCCAATTATTCTGGTCAGACTGATCATGAGGTCAGTAAGTCCACAGCAAGGCTATTCCTTCCACCACATGTCTCTCATTGCCTTGACGGTTACATAACTTCCTGACCTCCATGTGTTGATGTTTGTCTCTAAGCGGGACAGAGGCTGCTGTTACCATTTGGCCACAATCAG